AAAATATAGGTCATAGGGCTGGGGAATATGGCTTAGTGGTAGAGTGTTTGCTGGCTAGCATGCATGAAGCCCTGGGTTCAATTCCTCAGTACCACATAGGCAGAAAAAGCCAGAAGTGGTGCTGTGGCTCAAGTAGTAGAGTGCTAGCCCTGAGCATAGAGAAGTTCAGGGACTGAGCCCGGACCCAAAAAAAGAAAGGAAAGAAAAGAAAGAAGAGAGAGAGAGAGGAAGGAAGGGAGGGAGGGAGAAAGGAAGGAAGGAAAATATAGATCATGTTAATCCAAGGTTCTTATGTTCTTTCAGTGTCTTACTAGGTTTTATATAATAAGCCACCTTGACCACTCTAATCTCTTATGAATTTGGCCATAACAATTATAAGCCATACAACCTATCTGGGGTCCTCAAAGAGATTTATCTGTATTCTTCTGCTTTAGGGAATTGTCATTTGCTATTTCTTCTGTATCTAAAATGGTCATTCTTCAGGTGTTTATATGCCTAACCTTTTATCTCTTTTGGATCTTTAAAACAATCCTACTTTCGAACAAAAGAAGAGTTTCTTTTTTTACTGATTATACCTTAATGACCTTGTAAGAAAGTACCTCATATGAAACATTGAAAGTGATCTTACAGATTTAGTGATCTGTTAAAATATTCTGTCATGCAATTGTGGGCTTTTTTGTGTATTTATTTATTTTTTTATTCATTTATCTATATATTTAGTTTGATGCTAGTACCAGGGCTTGAACTCAGGGTCTCATGATCTTCTTCAGTGTTCTTGCTCATGGCTTTGCACTCACTACTTGAGCCATGACTTCTTCCTGGGCTGGCTCCAAACCACAAACCTCCAGATCTCAGCCTCCTGAGTAGCTAGAGCCACTGGTACCCAGCCAGTTGTGTTATTCTTAAACATGGAAAAGATCATCAAAAATAAATTGTTACAATACTTGAACTCTTGACCTGTCATTTTTGTCTCCCCTACCCCAGTATATATTGTATGTATGGTATAAATTGTGGATGAACAGTTAACAGCTTTCTTTTACTCCCTTTTATTTATATTTAGCTTCTCTGTTGATTCAGTGATAATGAAAGAATCTGAGGTACAGAAAACAGTGTACCCTGGAAACTGTCTTACAGAGAATATTGATGGTACAGTAAAGGTATCATTTTTTTATCTTTCTTTTTGAACTGTTCTGAACACTTTCTTACTACCATTTTTATGACTGGCTTTGTAATTATGCAATAAATAGTTGGTAAGAAGTAATAATACAGGTATAGGATAATGCCATTATAAAGACTCAATAAAGACAAATGCTCCTGTTTCTGAAAAATAAATAAAGACTCAAATATATAAAAAAAGTATTTTCTTTTGTTTTTTAATTTAATTTTATTGTCAAGATGATGTACTAAGAGGTTACAGTTATATATGTATGACAATGAGTACATTTCTTGTAGAACATTGTTACCTCCTCCCTTGTTTTGCTCCCTTTTTCCCTTCCCGCAATCCCCCCAAGTTGTAAAGTTCATTTCCAACATATTGTCTTGTATCGCTATTGCATGATGAGACAATGGACAAAGGGCAAACCAAAGAAACAATGTATTTTCATAACATAGGAAAAGCACTGAGAAATTTAAATTTGAGGAAATTTTCCCTTTATATATGGTTTGAATTTTGTCTTGGTTTTTATGACATTTATTTATGGGTTCAAATACAGATATTGTCTAACTTTTTACTTAAAGTAACATACAGAAATATACAAAATATTATTCTATTTAAACTGTTAAGCCATCCTATAATTACATTAGTAAAATTATAAACATGTAATTGTTTCTTTACATCTCCAGAAGTAAGTATAATTAGTAAGTTCACAGAAGTAAGTATAATTAGTAAGATTATTCACTAATTACTCACTTTTTAGCTAAAAGGAAGAACTAAAATTTTATTTTTGTTGAAGATGCCCTGAAGTTTTATAAGAAATAATATTTGAGACCATTATGAGAGAAGACACCTTAAAAATAAGTAGCATTTTAAAGTCAGTAGTGTACTATTTGTGTAAATAAATGTCATTTTTTGTTTTGCATTTAGTCTTCTGGTGAATTTGGAGTAAAACAAGAAACAAATATGGTTAAGTTGCTGGAAAAACAGTATCAAGAACAATTAGAAGAAGAAGTAGCTAAGGTATGCTTGTAGTTTATCTTTAAGATTATTTTAATTTATATTCCATTTGAACCTTCCAAAAGTATGTGTTTTTTTTGTATACTATATTCTTTGGTATAAGTTGTTTCATATATAGTTCAACTTGAAGTTGTCATGTAGTATCAACTATAATTGCTTTGTTTTCTATTGTGTTGTTTTGTTAAGATAGAATCTTGCTTATATAGCTCAGGTTGGTATCGGACTTTGCCATCCTCCTGCCTCAGCCTCCCAAATGCTAAGATACAAACATGTGTCACCATAATGAAGAAAAAGACACACTTTGAGCACCCCCAGAAGTTTCCTAATGCCCCTCTGAAAAACCCCCTCTATTTATATATTGCTGGATTTTGGTTACTTATACTTTGTCAAGATATGTATGTCTTTGTTTATGAGGACTTCTACCTGTAATTGTAAATTTTAAGTTCCTTCTGACATTACTTCTCTTTAGCCTGAAAAGTTTCCTTTACCCTTAACTTATCCTTTTTTACTCATGACAAGATGTGTAAAGGATTTTGCAATGCACAAGGTTAAAATTCTAAGAGGTACATTAATCTATTTAAAATAATTATGTGCTCTATTCATTAACTAGACTGTGTGACATATATGTAAAAAAGTACTTTTGTATGTGTTCCCCAATTTTATATGTGTTGACTTGTAAGTTGCTAAACTCTGCCCAGAGATGCTCTTGCCAGAACATTATGACATTTCCAAATGGACATTTTCCAGAAACCCTGTAAAAGGAAATTTCAGAGGCTTCTTTTTTTTTCTTTTTGAGAGTGAAAAATAGAAATAAGACAATTATATTAACAATTCACACAACTGAAATAGAAAACAAGATGTAAAAAAAGGATTAAGAAATGCAAATACTCAATATAATAAAAAAGTCAGTATAGATAAAAATGAGCACAAAATATTATAAAGCATCCAATTTTTACGTTTATAGAAGAGTTTGAATGTCAAATTGTATGGTCTCATTACAGTCCTGTGAAGAAGATAAAGATAAAAACAACAACATACAATTAATCCAGTTAACTTCAGACCACAGTTCCATTTCACCTTATGCCTACAGGTCAATTTTCTTTTTTTGTTTCACTCCACCACTCTCCTTTAATTGTACCCACCCCTTCCCTTCTCTCCTCCTCTCCCTTCTCTTCCTTTTCTCTCTCATCCTTTCCCTCTTCTTCTTCCCATCTCTTCCTTCATTCCTCCCTTTCCTTTTTCTCTTCTCTCCTCCCCTCCCCTTCCATCACTTCTTTATGTCAATTTTGCAGGCTAACATTCCCCATATAGTTCAGTGTTATTTTTAATTATTTCAGTTGTTGTACAAAGGGGTTGCCAACAAAGCAGTTTATTAATAGAATATATCTTGATCAGTATCACCCTGCTATCAATATTTAGATTTGTTTTTTACTTATTGTATGGGATATCTTTGCATTTATTTTATTCAATATTCAATCTTTTTTTGCTTGGTAGACTTTCCTTTTAGGATCATTTCCCCCCTTTTTGAGTTCTAAAGGACTTTATTGAAAAACAAACTTTATTTCTTTTATGTCTTTATGACTAGCTACTTGCATCAGGATTGATAGTTGTATGTCAGAACTTTCAAGATAGCATTTCACTGTTTTCTAATTTCTCTTGTTTTTGACTGAGAAGATCTTTATGAACTTATTCCCATAAAGGCATTATTTTTGGAAACCTTTTGATCTTTCTGTTCTTGGTGTTTTCTTTATTTGTCCATATAGCTCATAATTCTTGAAATATTTCCTTTCCCTCAGTCTCCATTATATCCTCCTGAAACTCTGCTTAGATACTAATTGAACATTCTTACTCTATCCTTCATATCTCTTTGATTGTCTTTCTTTTTCTTTGTTAATATGGAGAAACCTGGAGGCCAAACAGATTTAATGCAAAAGCCTTAAAACCTTGCCCACTAGTTAGAAAAGATCAGAAAATACATTTTTGCTAAGTTGTGTTGCTTAGTTAACTAGTTCTTTCTTTTATATCTTTTAACTATAAGGGTATATATTCCAACATATCTGAACATTATTTTTCTGTCTGAGCTAACATAGCCATCTAAGAGATCCAAAATGATAGATAAGACATAGGCAAGACGTAGTTTACATGAACAGAAGCAGTGTGTAATATACAGTGCTTTGAAATGCTTGATCTCTATAGTTAGACATACTTTTCATTAAAATGAATTCGGTATGTAACATTTGACATGATTCCTAATCTTTTGCACTTTATTTTTCTTATCATTTGGCTTGGTATGACGATCATTCTTCTTCTTTTTTTGGGAGGGGGCAGTCCGGTCGTGGGGCCTGAACTCTGGGCCTGGGTGCTGTCCCTCAGCTCAAGGCTAGTGCTCTACCACTTGAGCCACAGGGCCACTTCTGGCTTTTTTCTTTTTGCTTATGTGGTGCTGAGGTATCGAACCCAGGGCCTCAGGCATGCAAGGCAAGCGCTCTACCACTGAGCCACCTTCCCAGCCCCATGATCATTCTTTGTAACTCAATGGTAGCATTATATTTCTAGACAGATTAATTCAGATTTGATGATCATACTATGATGCTACAGTTTAGATGAGATGAAGTAAAATGGCAGAATCTTTTTTTTATTGTGAAAATACTGTACAGAGGGGTTACAATTACATGGGCAAAATAATGAGTACATTTCTTATCAAGCATTGTAGCCTCCTCCTTTGTTTACCCTTCCCATCCCTTCCCAGCCTCCCTCAAATGGCAGAATCTTTACCCCAGGTTCCATCAATTTATGTAATCTGTTTCCTTATTTTTCTAATCTTTTAAACACAGGCTATAAAATACTTTGATGTTACATTTGCTGTAAAATAGAGAATCTATGTATCACATTACATGATTTCTTTTTGTTTAAAACTATGAGACAACACATTCTTCTCAATATTATTTTTAAATTTCAGGTGCCTTTAATAAATCTAATCCAGTTTTTTCTTTTTTTCAATTTGTTTACTTTCTTTAGGTCATTGTGTCAATGAGTGTGGCCTTTGCTAAACAGACTGAATTGTCTAGAATATCTGGAGGGAAAGAAAATGTTGCATCATCAAAACAAGCATATGCTCTGGATCAACGGGAAGAATATTATTTTAATGAAATGGAATTTTCAGAAGGCCAAGTTGCTCTTCAAACTTGTGAAGCAAAAGACAAAAAATTTAAAGAAGAATTTAAACCACTTAGTAAAGAGTTAGGAGAAGATGGAAAAGAAGTTCTTTTGTCAAATAATAATGATCTTGATATACTAGAATCAAAGGACCACGGACTGACTATTTCACAAGAAGTGTTCTCCAAAGATAAAGCCTTTGTAGGCAGAGATTCTGTAAGTATGCCTCCTTGTATATAAAATATTTTATAAAATTAAGACTCCCTTTAATATGAAGTTATTTTATTTATTTATTTATTTTGGTTGGTCATGGGGCTTGAACTCTGGGCTTGGGTGCTGTCCCTGTATTCTTCAGCTCAAAATGAGCACTCTACCGCTTGAGCCATAGCACCACTTCAGATCTCAGCCTCCTGAGTAGCTGGGATTACAGGCGTGACCCACTGGCACCTGGCAATATGAAGATATTAGTAGTAATACTTCCTTAAAAGAGAAGAAAAGAATCGAGTTCACTTTGTTTTTAAGTTTTTGTTAATTTTTATGTAATTTTTTATTATGACATTCCCATATATTCATATAGCATACTTTGATCATATTTGCCCTTTAATTGCTCTCATGCCTCTCCCCCTCCTACTTTATCCTTTCCCTCTAACTCTGTATAGTTCCCTGTATTTTCATTATCTTGTCTTTTGTTTCTTATCCTAATATTCACAAATTAGAGACAACATGGGACAGTTGGTTTTATGAAACTGGCTTATTCAATTAGTATGATCTTCAGTGCAATCAATTTTCCAGCAAATGACATAATTTCGTTCTTCTTTATGCTAAGTACAACTCCAATATATACATAAGCTAAACTTTCTTTATCCATTCATCCATTAATTGCTACCAAGGATGACTTTACTGATTATCTATCTCTAATAGTTGTGTGAGAAGTATGGGCATAAAGAAGTAAGTTAATGTTGATTCTGGAATGGGTATGGCTGGGTCATATAGGAGTTTTGTGTTTGTGAGAGCCATCTATACTGTTTTCACAAGTAATGAACTAATTTGGGTTCCCACCTTCATAAGTAAGAGTTCCATTTTCTTACTTCTTCACTAGTATTTGTTACTTTTTTCTTGTTGAAAACAGTGCTGATTTGTGTGAGGTAGAGTTCAATGATATGATATGCATTTCCCTAATGGCTGATACTTACTGTCACATATTTATTGGCCATTATATTTATACTTCTTCATTGGAGAATTGTCTGTTTGGTTGATTTTTCCGTTTATTGACTGGCTTATTTGCTGTTTTGGTGTTTACTCTTTTGAGTTCTACATATATTCCAAGTATTAATCTCCAATCAGGTGAATATTTGTCAGCGATTTTCTCCCATTCCATAGGTTGTCTCTTCACTGTGTTTAGGCTTTTGTTGTGCTGAGCTCCTATCTTGACTTAGGATTTACTTTTTTCTTTTTCTTTTTCTTTTTTTTTGTCGGTCGTGGGGCTTGAGTGCTGTCCCTGCGCTCTTAAGCTCAAGGCGAGTGCTCTACCACATGAGTCACAGCGCCACTTCTGGTTTTCTAGTGGTTTATCAGAGATGAGTCTCACGGACTTTCCTATCCAGGCTGGCTTTGAACCGTGATCCTCAGATCTCAGCTTCCTGAGTAGCTAGGATTACAGGCATGAGCCACCAGTGCCTGGCGCCAATTTACATTATTATGTTTCATTCATTGTCACGTGTATGGTTAAAGTGATATAATATTAGTAATAAGTCAAAACAAGTCTGATCTATAGTACTCTGGTTTGTCTTCAACACATTGTACTTCAGATCTAATTGTCTACATTAACTTTATTTCACTTATTTAAAATTAATTATACTATATTTTGCCAAAATCTGTGGCTAAAAGATTTGCTCAGTTAACTGTAAGAGCATATAAGGAAGTAGCTCTCTGTTTAAGAAGATAATTTAAAGAATTTTACTTTGTATATTCTTTTTTTCTTTTCCCTTTCCTACTTTTCCTAAAAATTATCTGAATCCAACTTTTTTATTTTAGGGTATGTTATATCTTTTTCAGACGATATTCAAATATAACTGCTTTTCATGAAATGCAAAATTTATGAAGTTAAAAAACCTCATTAATAGTACTTCTTCATGAATTGAAGTAGTAATAGAACCCTCTTAAGCAGTTAATTCTTCTATGAATATAAAAATCTGATATATATAAAGGTTTTATTTCTAAATGAAGTTTATTGATAATTTTTTATCAAACAGTTCTCTGTATTACAATAATGAACCACTGCATAATAGAAATTAAATTAGTAAAACTTCTCTTTTACAATTTTAAGCTGTGTCTATGTTATTTCCCTATTATAATACAATCAAAAATAGTGGATGAAGATCTTATTTTTAAATTTTTATTTTATTGTAAGGGTGATGTACAGAGGGGTTACAGTTACATATGTAAGTTATAGCTTATTAAGGGTAGAGGAATCATTAGTGTTTTTATTTTTCTCCCTTAGAATTCAATTTTAGACAAACTGACAAGTAGCTAGTTTCCTTTTAGAAAGTAACATACAATAGTAATACACTTACTTAATTTTGTTTTGGAATGATAAATAAGAGAGATACCTTTTTTAAAGTTAACTATGCTTTTACTTATTAATAAAATTAATTGGTTTTTTTTTTTCTTTGTCAGTCCTGGGGCTTGAACTCTGGGCCTGGGTTCTGTCTCTCAGCTCTTCAGCTCAAAGCTAGTGATCTACCACTTTGAGCTACAGCACCACTTATTAATAAAATTAAATACCATGTGTGTTACAGGTTTGGTAGAATTGCTTTCGTATTTATTTAAAATATCAGTGTTAACAAACTTTCACAAATGTGTTTTTTTGTTTTTCATTGTTTACTTTTTACTATTAAAGATGTATAATGAGATGTTGGCATCAGGCATAGATGCTTCTAGACAGCTGATGTTAAATGAGGAACAGTTGGAAGACATGAGGCAGGAACTTGTACGACAGTATGAAGAGCATCAACAAGCAACTGAACTGTTGAGGCAAGCACACATGCGACAGATGGAGAGACAGCGAGAAGACCAGGAACAACTGCAAGAAGAGATTAAGAGACTTAATAGACAATTAGCTCAGGTATGGGACTTAGATTCCCTTTCCATCTAATTAAAGTAACAGTGTTCTTAATGTAGAAAATATTTTTGTCTTAATTACTTCCCCACGATCTGATATTTTACATCAGGAACACATTCCACCAAGCCCACAGATTTTGTTAGACATTTCTAACTCAATCTTATAGTGCAATAACTTCTTGTTTTATTTAACTGAATTTAGAAAATAGAAAAGTGGCTGTAAAGTTTGTTTAAAAGATAATAATTCCATTTACCACAGAAGTACAAAAGCACTACTACACTTTTGGAAATACTTTGTACGGAGGTACCTGCATATGTGATTGCTATCATTAAGCTTTCCCATATTCATTGTCTGAGTCCATTAGTTAGCATCTCCCAGGTTTACCTTTCCCTTACCTTTACTTTTAAATCACAAATTTAAATCTGAAGTAGCATGTTTCTGGGACTTTCTCCTGGGAAATATCTCTTACTGATTTGAGAAATACAAATTTATATAATATTCTTATCACTTTCTTGACTAAATTTAAATATTCCTTGGTATTTGGGTATTCTTGGTATTCTTGTATGCTGTATATAATACACTTGCAAAATCATTGCAGAAAAGCAAGAAAGACAAAGTTTCTATGAAAAAAATTTCACTGGACTTGATTTTGAATGCTGTAAGGAGAAATAGAGCTCTTAACATGTACTTTTAAATGTAAAATAATATAAAAATTGGAATTGAAACATAAAACATTATTGGGGAAACCAAGTTTGCTTTTCTTCATTGCATTTTGTGAATTCAGTTTTCTGGATTTTCAATGCAAAATTGACATCAAAGTATTAATCAAGCTGTACAAATTAACAACTTTTTCCTCAAATTTTGCATTGAACTTTATATATGCCTTTTAACCCCTTTTAAGGAAATATGAATCATAGGTAGAAACAAGGCCTGTTGGTCCAAAGGGGTTAAAAGAAATCTGCTTAATGTTCTGTTCTTTTCTTCTATCACAAACAATATTCTCTCATGACCTTTTTTCTTATTTAGAGATCCTCAATAGATAATGAAAACCTGATTTCAGAGAGAGAGAGGGTGCTTTTAGAGGAGCTGGAAGCACTAAAGCAGCTGTCTTTAGCTGGAAGAGAGAAGCTGTGTTGTGAGCTGCGCAACAGCAGTACGCAAACACAGGTAGTATGGACCTTGGCCCGCTAGGAGCAGTGGATCGACAATGCAGTAGGATTTGTTTGTGTTTGTTGTTGGTGTGAAATGTGTTTTTTTAGCTATTGAGTTTAACAGATTTGTCATTGCTTACATGTAAGGTAGGTAGAATTCAAATGCCATGCATTCAAATGCCATGCATTCTACGGTAATTTGAATCTGTCATTGCTATGGCAGCAGGTGTTGTTCCACTAAGGAACAACCTAACAAACTTTATTGTTGCAATAGATAGCATGCAGTAGTTTGAACTCATTAAAATTGCTTTCAGTGTACTAGACTGCTTTATCTTTTTTATAATGCTAATCTTGATAAAATATGGTTAAATATTATTTCAAGCAGTGTCTACTTTGTATACTTCAGACCAGAATATGACATGCTCCTTCTAAGATGACAGGTTTTCTTTCTGTCTTGTCCTCTCTGCCTTTACACAAACTTAATCAGGATCGAAATGAAAACCAAGGGGAAGTTGAAGAAGAGACAGTTAAAGAAAAAGAATTGGACAGAAAACCTGAAGATGTACCTCTTGATATTCTTTCCAATGAAAGGTATTTAAAATGTACTTTTTCATTGCAAAATAAATTAAGATTGTTGTTTCTATATAATGAACTTTATTTGTCCTTATTTTTATTTTACATTTGTATTTAGTCTTATAATACTATGTATGAGTATATCCATAGATGTGCAGTATATAAAGGACTATCAATACGTAAATCATTAAATGGATAAATGTTTTAGGAATCTCATAATTTGTATTGGATATTGTGCACATACTTGGCTGTAAATATTTAGTTTTTTTTATATTAGACTTTGATTACTTTTCTTCTTCTTAATGCTATATTTTGAATCCTAAAAACACTTCTATTTGTGAGCTGTATTTTTTGTTTCTTCATTCATTTTTTGAATAAGCATTTAGTGTTAGCTATTCTCTCTTTTTTTTTTTTTTGGTCGGTCATGGGGCTTGAACTCTGGGCCTGGGCGCTGTCCCTCAGCTCTTCAGCTCAGGGCGAGCGCTCTACCACTTGAGCTACAGCTCCACTTCCGGTTTTCTGGTGGTTTTATTGGAGATAGGAGTCTCATGGTCTCTCCTGCCTGGGCTGGCTTTGAACCGCGATCCTCAGATCCCAGCCTCCTGAGTAGCTAGGATTACAGACGTGAGCCACCAACGCCCGGTTTTCTATTCTCTTATTGGTTTATGTTAAACAAAAGTACGATAAATACAAGTATTTCACATTCAGGTTCTTTCATATGTTTACTGTATTACAGAAGTGAACTTTTAATCCATATCCCAGTTTTAAAGAAAAGTAAATTGGTCAGCCAATGTTAAAACTTTTCCTCACTTTGATTTATGTAGTAATTAATATGAAAATATGTAAAACAATACCATATGAGAATTGTCATCCCACATTAATATTAAGGCCTTTTAAGCAGCACTCATGTTTTAAATTTTATTTTGTTCAAATGAAGATAACTTCTATAAGATTAAGTTAAAACTAATATCTACTAACATAATTTCCTCCTTTTCTAACTTCTGTGACCGTCAACCCTTTGTGTCCTCCTAACCTCCTTCCTCAGCTTGCATGGAGGAATTTGGCCCTTAAGATTTTGGCTTCCCCATTGGATCATCAGTATGGAACACAGTCAGTATGGAACTCAAACAAGAAAGACAGTGTATGAAATTTGGAGTTACCATGGAAATATAAAATAAACAATGTTTATTTTATATTATTTTATATTATCACTAATTTACATATTTTACAAAATATGCAGTGTATAATTTTTAGGAATCTTATACTGAATGCTGATAAACTGAATATTCATCTTTATTTCTTTTTATCGTTATTTTTATCTATTTCTCTTTTAAGTAGAGATATTTTTCACAATGTCTTATTTTTGAGACTTGAAACTTGAACAAAAACAGTAAATGTTAGGGAAATAAAACCATTTATTTCTTACTAATTTGTTTAGGCTTTTATTTTTAATATTCTTGATCATCTAAGCAAAGAACCTGATCTGGATACAAAAATAGAACTGTGGCTTTCACTTGACAAATACTAAAGGAAGTCATCTCCATTTATTACCTTGCCTAAAAATAGGTATATCATGTGCTTGTGAAATGATATCTTTAGCCTGATTGTTGGTAATCTCCTGCAATGTGAAGTTGAGAGCTAAAACTTTGTTAAGCTAGGGGACCTTCCCATAAAAGTCTTTCATTTTGTCTCCATGCATTAATAATTCTATTTGCCATTGTAGTACCTCTGGTGAATTAAGCTGTTGAGTTATTCAAAATATTAATCAAGTAATGTTTTGGATTACCATTTATGGAAGTACATTTGTTAGCATGGTAAAATGTTCATTGTAGAAAGAAAACTTACAAAATCATCTTGTCCAGGATGACCCCTCTTTGTATTTAAAATGTTTATAGGGGGAAATGTCTATAAATTAAAATTATAATGCTGATTATTTCTGAGGTCCGAGAGTTAGGAGGATGATTAACAATATTTTCTACTTAAAAATGAAGTATTCTTTTTTTTAAAAAGGAATGCTATTGATTGAATTTAGTTGAATTTTTTTCCTATTGGCTGAAATGTGTGATGTGTATAACTAGATATATTTTTGTCTCAAGAGCATGTGTTATAAAAAATGAAACAGCCTATGATATTCCCTCTCACTGAAATTTCATGATAGACGTTCGTAAAAAAAAAAGTGTTCTCTGCCTATTTGTGCAATTTAACCTCCTATTTGTATTCACTAAGTACTAGAAACTACCACATTTTTTTCTAGTGGAATTAAATATTTTTAAATCTGTTCTTCAGAACATAAAAATATGCAAGGTAAATATATATAGACATATATTTAGAGAGACAGATAACCATGAACAATATTAGAAATTAGTAATCTACATATGCTTGGGTATTGCCACACTTTTCTGAACTTGAATTGTATGTATCCTTAATTTTTTTCTAATTAAAAGTTGAGTTACTTGATTTATTTGGTGTCAATAAGATGTAGATTTTACAAAGATTTCAGTTAATTTGCCCAAATTTTTAGAAAAGAAATAAAATCTTCTGTAATATAGTCTTACTGTAAATCAGAATAGGAAGCACTTCCTTGTAGGTATTGTTACACTTCATTTAATGAGATCATATGGGAAGGGATGGTAGAGGAAAAAGAAAGGAGGTAACAGTGCTTGATAGGAAATGTACTCATTACCTTATTCATGTAACTGTAACCCCTCTGTATAGTATCTTTACAATAAAAAATATATACTAAAAAAATAAAGTAAATAGGATCATATATTTTTATTTACATTTTATAGTACATGTTTGTGTGATAATAACAATGTATTTCCTTTAAAAAGGTCAACATTTTAATAAGTGATTCTTTGTACAGGTATGCACTCCAGAAAGCTAATAACAGACTTCTAAAGATCCTCTTAGAAGTTGTAAAGACAACAGCAGCTGTTGAAGAAACAATTGGCCGCCATGTCCTGGGGATTCTAGATAGATCTAGTAAAGGCCAGTCAACTACTAACCTTATCTGGAGGTCAGAAGCTGAGGCATCTATAAAGCCTTGTGTCCAAGAGGAACATCCAAGAGGTACTAGTGTTATATGTTATTGAAATAATCATCCTCAACAAATCTGTTTTTTTAGTTTGTTTTTATTAGCATACATTAATTGTATAAATGGGATGTATTATATTTCCATACATGTATATAATGTACTTTGATCAACTTTGCCTCTCCTATTATTCTTTCTTATTCTTTTACTTTCTTTTTTGTTTCCTTTCTTTTTATTTTATTTTATATTTTGGTGCCAGTCCTGGGACTTGAACTCAGAGTCTAGGCTCTGTCCCTGAGCTCATTTTGCTCAAGGCTATTGCTCTACCACTTCAGCTTTTGTTCTTACTGTTATTAGTAGGTAATTGGAGACCAGAATCTCATGGACTTATCTGCTCAGTCTGACTTCAAACCAACAATCCTCAGGTCTCAGTCTCCAGAGTATCTAGGATTATAGACATGAGCCACCAGCACCCGGCCCTCTACCTTTTATTTTATTTTTATTTTGTTTTTTGCTGAAAGTGAGACTCTAACCACTTCAGCCATAGCTTTTGGTGATTCATTGGAGGTAAGAGTCTTATCGGTTTCCCACCCAGGCTGTCTTTAGATCATCAGATCTCAGCCTCCTGAGTAGCTAGAATTATAGTCATGTGTGCCTGGCTCTCTACCTTCTTTTAAAAACAATTTTTAGCTGATGTCATTTTTTGTATTTTGATACATGTATATGAAGTTCTTCCATCATATACAACCCTCTTCACACTCCCCTCCTACCCTTCATACTGGTTTGTACCCAAAAGAGCCCCCATTCCCCATTTTACACTCATGATAATCATTTATTTTTATGTCTAAATTCCATATATACAAGACCATATGATATTTCTATTTTTTGTCTAGTTTCTATAATAATTTAACATGGTAATTTCTGGTTTTAAACCATTTTTCTAGCAAACACCATAATTTCACTTTTTGTGGCTGAATAATAATCCCATTTTGTATATATATCATATTTTCTTTATTTATTGATTGGTGGACTCTTAGGTTGATTCCACAGAGTGGCTGTTGTTGACTAGTGTGTTGACTTCATCCCTCCTCTGTGTGTGTGTGTGTGTGTGTGTGTGTGTGTGTGAGTGACATTGTGGTTTAAACTTAGGGCCCTTTTCTTTCTAGGCAGGTGCTCTACCACTTGATCCTTAACCCTAAACAATGTTTATTGAATTTATAGAAACATTTGTTATACAATTTCTATGTAGTTTCTGCTTTATAACAGTTCATAGTCTAGTGAAGGAAGCACTAAGATTTCTACTCAAGGGAAGGTAAATCTATAGTACTTAATAATTTACTTTAAATCATTCACTGAAGCTAATCACTTAAATCTTTTAAAATGCTGATTATTGTTAACTAATTCTGAAAGAATAATATTATGACCTAAGAGAAATTAGCCCCAGAAAAGAAATATAGTGTTGAGAATATTATGACAGATAATTTTGCTGGTATTAGTATCATTGGTTATATGCCGTTTCCATTTAACTCAATTTTTTAAAATGTCTTTTATATTAAACAGTATTTCTTCACAGTAAAGTTAGTATGATCACCAATATTATTGGGGGACACTTAATCTGATCTATTTTACATCTTGAAAGATATTTTGAAGTGCTAGACTTCATTGTTTAAAACATTCAGTTTTGGGCTGGGAAGGTGGCTCAGTGGTAGAGTGCTTGCCTCCCATGCATGAGGCCCTCCCTGGGTTCTTTTCTCAGCACCACATAAACAGAAAAAGCCAGAAGTGGCGCTGTGGCTCAAGTGGTAGAGCACTCGCCTTGAGCTGAAAAGCTGAGGGATAGCTCCCTGGCCCAGAGTTCAGGCTGCATGACCAGCAAGAAAGAAAGAGAGGGAGGGGGGGAGGGAAGGAAAGGAAAGTTATAATCTAAACATACCCTTGGAAAGATTTATTTTATGCCTCTATAACATAACAGGAAATGCTAGGTTTTATTTATTTATTTGTTTATTTATTTATTTTATTTTTGGGTCCGGTCTTGGGGCCTGAACCCTGGGCCTGGGAGCTGTCCCTCAGTTCTTCAGCTCAAGGCTAGCGCTGTACCACTTGAGCCACAGCACCACTTCCAGCTTTTTTCTTTTTGCTTATGGGGTGCTGAGGGATTGAACCCAGGGCCTCATGCATGCAAGGCAAGCGCTCTGCCACTGAGCCACCTTCCCAGCCCTGAAATGCTAGGTTTTAATCTGATTAATAACTCATTTGCTTTTGAGCTTTTACATATGACTGTTCTAAGCAAAACTTGTGATCTGTTTTCAGCCTTCAGGTTTGAACTTGTTTAGAATTTAAACATGTATGGACTTGTTAACACTTGAAAAAATAATTGGTTTGCTTATGTTTGTTTCTGAAGAACAAATGAGCTCATGAATTGAAAGGAAATTTTGAGCCACTATGAAATCACCTCAACTTGAGCAAATAATAGACCAGTTCACAAAAATTAAGTTTCTCAGTTGTATTGAAAGAAAATTACCTACATTGTAATAGTTTAGGGATAGAATGTTCTTCTCTCTTATAGGAGGGTAGGGACTAAAGTTTGTTTACTTCATCCTTTTGGAACAGTGTAATATTGTGGAAAATACTGACTTAACAATAACAAGGCATTGCTTGGTTTTGGCTGTCTGTTTCTTTGGGCAAATCTCTTCCATTTCCCAGATCTTCATTACAGTTTTTCTGTCTGTTATTCTTATCTGTCAGACTACATGCTGATGATTTCCAATTAGTGCCATAGACATCATCATAGAGCCATTGAGGCAGGAAAAGATCTTACATTACCCACTCTAACCTAAAGAGCTTATTGCTATCTATTAGAGAATGAATGATATAATTCATAAAACATGTGATTAAAAGACTACAACTGCTGTTTTTTGCTTTGTTACCAATATAAGTCTAAGTGGTTCATCAATATGAAAAGATTCTGTTCACTAAACTGGAGTTCAAGATATTTCTACTAGCATGTTGTGATATTATTCTGCTTATTTGTATTAATTACTCTTGAATTTTTTTCATCAAGACTAGTATGAGCTTGATTTGATTCAGAATATTTCCAAGAGTTTATATCTTCAAAATATTTCTTGTTTTGATTTTTGTTGTTTCATTTTATAGTGCAGGCAGTTGTATCTAGGGTCTTCTGTATGCTAGACATTGCACTGTTTAAGCTAGTTGGAATTTTTATCTTTTCCAAGTACTTTAGTGCACATTATTCATTAACTGTTCCAAAAAACTAACATTTTGTAATCTGCTTTATTGTCCTCTCCATGTTGTGCTTGGGATTTGCTCTCAGGATACATTAGTATCTTTAGTCTTTTCCTTATCATTGATTGCTGCTCTATACCACAAAAAAGGCTGCAATATTTATACTATTTAAAAAAAGGGGGGGATTGTTCTTAGCTTTACCCTCCTCCAAGATAAAATTCAATACATTTAGTGAAAAAAATAGACTAGCTCCTGCCTACATTCACCAACTTACAGTACCAAAACTGTTCTCTCAGAGGATAACACTGACTTCCCAGTTATTGAACCTATAACATCTTTTCAGTCCTTGCCTTAATAATGTCATTGGTTCTTTTTGTCTCCTTTATATTTCTGGTATTTTTGTGCAGATTCTTTTGTTGTGGTATCTACAAGTTCCAACTTTGTTTTCTTTTTTTCTCTAAATGTTACTTCTAAAACAAATGTCATTTCCAGTCTTTCCAATCTTACCTTTCTACAGATAACTTCTAGGTCTCCAGACCCAAATTTACAACAGTTTACATACATCCTATAAACACTTCAGATTAATAATTTTTTCATGCCTACTGTGAATACTTTCTCCTAACTTTTTTTCTTTTTTCTTTTTGTCGGTCATGGGGCTTGAACTCTGGGCCTTGGCGCTGTCACTCAGCTTTTCAGCTCAGTGCAAGCGCTCTCCCACTTGAGCCACAGTGACACTTGTGGTTTTCTTATGGTTAATTGGAGATATAAGAGTCTCACGGACTTTCCTGCCCGAGCTGGCTTTGAACTGTGATCCTCAGGTCTTAGCCTCCTGAGTAGCTAGGATTACAGGTGTGAACCACTGGTGCCCAGCTTCTCCTGATTTTTTTTTTAAGCATTTCTTTTCTTTTCTTTTTTCTTTTTTTTTTTTTTGTCATTTGTGGGCCTGAACTCTGGGCCTGGGCGCTGTCCCTCACCTCTTCAGCTCAAAGCTAGTGCTCTACCACTTGAGCCACAGCGCCACTTCCGGCTTTTTCTATTTATGTGTTGCTGAGGAATCAAACCCAGGCCCTCATGCATGCAAGGCCAGCACTCTACCGCTGATCCACCTTCCCTGCCCTAAGCATTTCTTTTAATGGCTTCAGTCTTGTAAGAATCATTTAAGCTGGAAACCTAGACTCATCTTTTACTTTTCTTCTCACCTTGTCCTATACATTCAGTCTTTTCCAACATGTGTCTTTTCCCAGTTGCCACCAATCCTGCCATCTTATTTCATGTTCACCTCACTTCTCATCTGGGTAATTGAAGTAGTCTTTTAACAAGTTCTCTCTCCTACATTGTTGTTAATGACACAAATAAGTCATGCAACCTAGTGTTTTTTCACGTGATTATATGTTTATTTCTTGTGAAAGGAAATAAAATATACTTTCTTTGAGGATAAGAACCAGATCTTGTTAACTACATATTCTTGTTACTTAGCAAACTGTACCTCCTTGACTTTTGGTAAATATCTACTAAAAGTTACCTTGAAAGTTTTTGTCAGGCTGAGCATATAGCTCAATGATTAGAGTGTATACTTAGCAAATTGAAGACCTCAGTTTGATTCCCAGCACCAAAAAAGGAAGAAATTTTATCAAAGAAAAATTCCATATAACACAAATACTAGACTTATTGCATATCTACACAGGATATACAAAAAGGATAATAATCTAATGTTTCTTTTATATACTTGGCAATTTGATAATATTACATTATGCATTTTCATGTTATCTGTTTCATTGCAATGCTGTTATTAAAAGACCTTGTAATTTCAATGATTTCAGGCTTCTGACTTATAATTAATGACATAACACAAAACACCTAACATATGCCTTTAGCATACTATTATTCTAGTTACAGATGAATCCATGCCTTCTTATTCTGAAAATGACATGCCAAGAAATGACAGCAGCATGTGGTCAAAAATAACTGAGGAAGGAACAGAGTTGTCACAGCGGCTTGTGAGGAGTGGTTATACTGGAACTGAAATAGACCCTGAAAATGAAGAACTTATGCTGAATATTAGCTCTCGACTGCAAGCAGCTGTTGAAAAACTCCTAGAAGCCATAAGTGAAACCAGTAGTCAGGTAACCTCTTAATCTTCCTAATATCTACTGAGCTTGAAGCAGATTTTTTTCAAGTTGGAAAATAACTAAATGTTTCTCTCTGCTGTCCCACAGAAATTTGGTTAGATTTTCCTTTAGTAATTGGTTGTTTTTGTGACAACCAACACTGGTGTCAGAAATCTTCTTTTTAGTTCATAAGGGATAATCTAATAGTAAAATTTATTTCTCTTTTAATATTCATATTGTTACTTTTCATATTATTCATATTATTTTTATCAAAAAATTTTCAAAGCTGAGCACTGGTGGATTGTGCTTGTAATCCTAGATATTCAGAGCCTGAGATCTGAGGATATCACTTGGAAGCCAGCCTGGGAAGAGTTAGATAATAATAATAATAAAGGCAGGTTCATCTTCATAGCTTAGTAGGGGACATAAGAAACCACGACAGCATTTTTCTGAATTTTAAGAGGTAGCTTCCCTCTCCAGCCACAAGCTAACTCCCTGAATACTGGGCCTTCTGGAAAAAAAAAAAAAAAAAATTTAAAAAATCTCACTTTTTGTTTTTTGGGTTTTTGGTTTTTTCTGCGAGTACTGAAACTTGAACTCAGGACCTGGGTGCTTCCCCTGAGCTTATTTGCTTAAGCTGGTGCTCTACCACTTGAACCATATCTCCACTTCCAGCTTTTTGCTAGTTAATTGGAGATAAGAATCTCACAGACTTTCCTGCCAGAGCTGGCTTCAAACCTTGGATCTCAGGCTCCTGAATAGCTGGATCACAGGCATGAATCACCATCACCAGGCTAAAATCTCACTTTGTTTCTGCCTAATTATTTGTGTCCCACAAAGAGGTTGAATAATAGCTGGAACAACTTTATGTAGTGAGAGTGTCTACTAAGAGATTTTTCTTATTACCTGCATGCTTTAGTATGGGTTTTTCTACTTACATAAGGTCTTAGTGGGTTTGTGATGTTTAGTTACTAGACAGAAAAACATGTGCCATTTCTTTTTTAAAGCAACTCTCATTATTGAGAAACTTTTAGTATTAAAAACTCTCTTTAAAAATTCACTATTTTCTTCACTATTATTCACAGGCTTATTCACTATTATACAAGTTTCTGGATCACCAGTAGTTAGCCATTATATAGAGCTTGAACTTTTACATTTCAATTGGAATTCACAAGCTACCAAGTATTATATACTGAACAGCTTTAAAAAGGATTATTTTTCCTTAGCACACACTCTGTAAACAACTCTGAAAATAGGTGACAACTGGACTATCTATATTTAGTCTCAGTAGCTGCTCAAATGTATTGTTTCTAAGTAAATGTCAAAAAAGTGTTCTAATTCATAGAACTCATCATGATATTTGATATACTTCAGTAACTGATTAGTGCTCCAATAACTAATATTTATTTTTAAATTTCTAGTGAGATGGAAAAACACTAGCTTATCTTAGAAACATCATAAACTTATCTAAATAAGTCTTTTTCAAAGACCTGACGTGGAACTTGGATCCTGTTAGGCAGGCTTTTTTTTTTTTTTGTGGGCGTTTTAATTCACATTCCACCTGTCATTGTACCTATATAGGTAAAGACATTAAACCACACCCTCTGTGCTGACCTTTCTCTCCAGGGACACTGAGTAGAATCTTTTAGCTCAGGGAAGAAACTATTTGAATACCTCTGTTAGGAAGAGCTTCTGAATAGAGTGAAGCCCTGAATAGAGTGAAGCCGCAACCAGGAAAATAATGTTGCAACTACATTTTTCAAGACTGCTACTATGGAGATTTAAAACTTGACCTTCCCTGCCAGGAAACTTGGAAGGCTTTCTTATTACAAGATGCACTGGAAACTGCGAGCAGTTTTTCTGCCCAGCTAATTTGATAATTATATTTTCATTTGTCAAGGACTTATTCTAGTTAGAACCAGTTTGGGTTTTTTGTGTGCTTTTATTTTTATTGTTTTTGTTTTGTTTTTTGAGGTGAGGTTGCCTGATGAACTTTTTTTAGGTTTGTAAATTTTTATCTAGATTTTTCAGTCCTTTTATTGTTTATTTGTATGAATTTTATGTTTATTTGATAATGCTAAAATGAAATTTTTACAATGGTATGGAAAATCTTGATAAACTGAAAAGAACTTTTTAACATGGTAGAAAATTGAAAAAGTAAATGGAGAAGTGTGGCAGCTTCATCTTCTAGAATGGATTCTTACAGGACCTATTTAGCAACTGTTAATCTCAATGCCTCTTGCTTGGAAGAACAAGATGAAGACATTTATGAGGTTGAATCTCGAGTACCTTTACCATATCCTTTTCCTCTTTGTGAACATTTGGATGAAAATAACTCAGTAATTATTAATACTTCTATTTTTCATTTTATTCACAAAAGAAATGGGCACATATTAAAGCTTATTTCTAAAATTTCATTGCCCACCCCTCCTTATTCAGTAAGTATTTTAAAAAGTAGTTTGGTTTAAGAACTAAATATAATGAGAAATGAAAAATTATCCTTATTAAGTACAATCATGTTTTGTTATTAGTTGGTGTGTTACTGCTCATTGATTCTAGATACATTGAAGGACTAAATTTTTTAATTCCAGAAAGCAGAATGCGATATTACACTTCTTCAATTGCAAGAAAGCTATTTTAAAAGATCTTACTTGTCCTTGAGATTCTTGGATTTGTATGTGTATAATGCTGATCCTAAATAAAATGGAATGAATATATTTGATAGAATAGCATTGTAATACATAAACAGCAAAGTAAATTGTCAGCCATTTGGGAAATATTGATAATCATGCAGCATATTAGCTGTGCTTCTAGACAAAATAAATTCAGATTCTAAATTTTCTCTGCACACTAAGAAGCTTAACTTTTCTGTTTCTAATATGCCTACTAATCTTGTAGAAAAATGCCCTTTTCTGCTTTTAATTGGAAATGTCTTTTATAAACATTGCTATGGGTGTGTTTAGCATAATGATCCCTACATATTCAGTATTTCAGGCTCATTTGATACTTAAATCTGCTGTAAATGATTCACTAAAAGCTTACAGCCCTTTTTATTACTTTCTAGCTAATATTTAACAAGTCAGATGGATTTTTAGAATAGTTATAAGGCTAGAATACCTACTGCTTTACCCATACTTTATATCTGTAATAAAGTTGTCTTAAAACATCAGATACTGAATTTGAAACATATATACTTGCAACTATTTCAGTTACTAGGGCTAAATTGTACACTGGTTGGGAGAGATTTTTAAGTATGAAGTATTGAGGTAAGACTTAGCTCAATAAACTGTAAGCCCCATCTGTCATCATAAAATTTGTTTGCTGGATTTACTTTACTTGATTGCATCAACATTTTTGTTTCATTTTTGTAAAACTAATGTTATTGCTTGTGTTTTTATTCTATTTAAATGAATGAGAAGCTAGTTGAGATCTTGTAAAATAGAACATAAAAGCCAAGACTTAGTTTACTTTTCTAAAGCAAGCATTTATTTTGTTACAAATAATTTATAGTAAATTAAAAAAGAAAAATTTAATTGTTTTAGTTATGGCTTTGAACTCTTAGAGATTTCATGTGTTAATAAGTAACGATTATAATAATATAATAGACTAATGATAATGTAATATATAATAATATAATAGGGAAAAGTACATATGAATATTTAAAAGTAATTTATATATTTTAAAATACTGATTGTGACTAAACAGATTTATAAGTTACATATAAATTAGTTCATGCTTTCTGGTCATGTTCATTTGATTTATAAGTTCATGTGTTTTGATTACCTACAACTAAAGAAAAAGGAGTATTTGCCAGTGAACAGTTAATAACATTTAAACTGAGTTTGGTGATTCAAGCCTGTAATCCTGGCTACTGAGACTTTGGTCTCAACCAATGGTTTGGTATGGTGGTATGCTCCTAATCCTAAACTACTAGGGAAACACAATGGTTAAGTGCAGTGGTATGCACCTGTCATCCCAGCTACATAGGGAAACACAAAGAGGAGGATCTTAGGAAGATCAAAATCTGGACTGCCCATAAGTCAAGATCTTATCTTGGAAATAACCAACCCACAAAGGGAATGGCTGAGTTGCTTAAATGGTAGAATGCCTGACTAGCAAGTGTGAGGCCTAATTTCAAATCCTAGTACAGTCATTTGTAATTTCAACTTCTTTTGTGTGTGCAGTCTTGGGGCTTGAGCTCAGGGCCTAAGTACTATCCCTCTGCTTTTCTACTCAAGGCTAGCACCATATCACTTGAACCTCAGCTCCACTTTGGGCTTTTGGGGGAGTTAATTAGAGATAAGAGACACAAATTTTCCTGCCTATGCTAGCTTCAAATTGCAATCCTCAAGATTCTAGCCTCTTGAGTAGCTAGGATTATAGGCATGAGCTAACAGTGCCCACCTTGTAATTTACATTTTATGCTTAATTTCCCATGAGTCTTATATGTTTACTCATTTTAAAATATAAGTTATAAATGGTATTTGAAACATCCTATTAAAATAATGATTGCATACTAGATATTTTTAGAAATTGATTTCACATGACCATAGAAAACTTAAGTAACACTACAATCCATGTTCTTTGGAAAATAACACTTTAGATATGAAGATTGGAAGTCTTTTAAGAATACAATATTATTTGGCCTCTTAAAGAATACAATATTAAATATATCATTACTTGACTTATGATAATGAGTAACTCCTCTCTACAACCTAAATATTAATAACAATTTTTTAAAAAAATTAGAATGAAATGTTAAGTATATCATAATTTTATAATGCATTACTAACTCATAGGTTAGAAACTACTACATAATAAGCTTAAAATATAGTAATGTATCTTTCAGATGCATAAAAACTTTAATTTTTCCCAACAGAGTTTTTTTTTGTAGAACAAATAAGCAAATAGTGATATTAACAAACCATGTAACCACAGTGGAGACAGTGCTTTTTTGTTATTTCATATACCTGACTCAATCTCTAGTGATCCATTTACCTCCTGAGTGAAAGCTGTGGTCTCAAATCTATACTGACATTTTTGAAAATGTTTAGGAATGTCGCCAGTGTATGCCAATGGTGGTACTTTAATTAGGCTGTATTTTCAATATCTTTGTGTTGTAAGAGTTTTGAAAATCATTTATACTGGTTTGTTGTTTGATACCACTAGATTAATCTGTATCATTAGTCTGCCATATAGCATATACTATAAGAGTATAGTCAGTATATATTAGTTAAAAAAGAAAGTTTATCATAGATCAAATATACAAAATTCTTTAGCAAATACAATAAAAGTCTTGCTTTAGTTTTTTTGTTTTCATTTATATGATAGAATATTTATTCATTGATTTAAGGTGGTTTATTTCTAAAAGAAGCACATTTCCCTCCCCTTTTGGAAATGGTACTAGAAATTGAACTCAGGGCTCCATGCTTGCTAGGCAGCTGCTTTACGACTTGAGTCCAGGACCCATGACCACCACCACCAACAACAAAAAACCCCACAATACTAGTTTTCCTAACAATTTATTTTCCTTTATATATTCTTTCCCTCTTTGTATAGCTTGAACATGCAAAAGTTACACAAACAGAGTTGATGCGTGAGTCATTTAGACAGAAACAGGAAGCAACAGAATCCCTTAAGTGCCAAGAAGAACTGCGAGAACGCCTTCATGAGGAGTCCAGGGCTAGAGAACAGCTGGCTGTGGAGCTCAGTAGGGCCGAGGGTAAGCACCTTACCATTGGCAATTGGGAGGAAAGAAATTCCAATATTAAAATACAGATTTTGATATATAGCCAGTTTTGGGAAACTACTAGTCTACTGTGATTTATAGTCACCATTTAAAAGTAGTTGCCATTTGTCTTTAGAGTTCTTTATGCAATATTTAAATTTATAACTAAGAAAATGTACTTAACTATAAACATAATTTGTAGAATCGGAAAATATTAAAAATGTTAGAAAATACAGAAATAGGTGGTGGTGAGTTCTTACTGTAATTCCACCAGCGTAAGACAATTCTTAGAATTTAAAGAAGAGCAAACTAGGTCTAAAAGATACTGTTGTATTATAAGGTCTTTATTAAGTGTGTAAGCTTCTGAAGCCTCTGATGCTGTTGTAGGTGTTAAACTTATAGTAGTACTTAAATTATCAACCTCCTCTAGCATATTTGAAATGTGATTCAGTTCACAAACACCTCATTTATATAAAGCTTTCCACAAGCTTATCTACTTCAGTCTATTAAATAAAATGAGTCACATGAACAAAATGTGATACTTTAATGTAGCAAAGTACTGGAAAGTTTAGAAATTCTTCATATTTGTATATTTATCTCATACAGAGATAAACAAGCAAAAGAGTGTTGAACATACCATAATAAAGTTTAAGAGTTTGTACTGTCAGCAAATTCCCTGTTGATTCTGTTTTACAGGTGTCATTGATGGCTATGCAGATGAAAAAACTCTTTTTGAAAGGCAAATTCAGGAAAAAGCTGATATTATAGATCGCCTTGAGCAGGAATTGCTATGTGCAAGTAATAGATTGCAAGAATTGGAAATAGATCAACAGCACATTCAAGAAGAAAGAGAGTTACTATCTAGACAGAAGGAGGCTATGAAAGCAGATGCAGGCCCCGTTGAACAGCGTATGTATTTTCAGACTTCATATGTATTTTCAGACTTTGTATGATAGTTTTCTTTTTATTCATGTTTATCAAATATTCAAGGTGACCTTTTTATCTCTTTCAGTGCCATTATTAATATATTTTATAAGATCAGTTATAAGCAGAACATGTTGAAAAGGTCTGTTGCTGTTAAAACAAGCTAGCATCTAGTTTAATTATAACAGGAGTTCAAGCTGGGAACTGGTGGGTCATGCATGTAGTGTTAGCTACTAAGATCTAAGGACCACAGTTCAAAGACAAACCAGACAGAAAAGTCCATGAGACTCTTCTTTTCTAACCAGCAAATACCCAGAAGTAGAGGTGTGACTCATCTTGAACAGAAAAAAAAAAAAAAAACTGAATGAGAATATGAGCTTCTGAGTTCATGCTCCATTACCTGTACATACAAACAAATGAGTTCAATATTTAAATATTTAAATTTACAGTAACCTTTAGTTTTCCTTAAATGAAAAATGAGGTAACATCTTAAAGCTTGTTTAATGGCAAATATCAGTCTTTGAAACAACGGAACATTAAATTCCATTTTCATGATCTCTTTAATATTGAGCAAATACTTGAAATTATAGATGTATATTTTCTCTAGTTTCATTTGTCAATTTAGAATGCAGCATACATTTTTATCATATAGTAAAGCTTTTTTCTGATGCTCAAATTAGTTTAAAACATTTAGGGCTAGAATTTTTAATGTGGGAAAGAATATGTCACACAGAAAATATACAGGAACTATTGGTCCTTCTCAAAGTATTAGCAATAATAACGGGTATCTTAAACATTTTTTCAAAGTATGTGTGCACATTCATTAACTTATTATAGAAAATAGAAGGCATAATTCTATTTCTGTTGTGTTTTGTTTTGTTTTGTTTCTGTTCTCATAGGATCCATAAATGCTGCAGTTGATGCAGCACCTGGAACAGGTGTGTGTGTGTGTGTATACAATTGCATGGACTTCTTTTTGGTAGTAGACTTAACTCAAATTTTGGTGGCCCTTGATTTTTCAACCAACTAACATGTTCCTAATTTTTCAGTCTTGTTGCTGTTTCATGCTTACAGTTTTCTATTTAACAACACAACTTAGTGATGTAAGAGTGCACACTTTTATTTGAAATTAACAAATGAGAATCATAGTAACCATCATCTTATTATGCCTGTTTTTTTTCAGAGAGCTTAAAAATATTTAGATTTTTTTCCAAGAAAATGTTTTTTAGAAAAAGAACCAAAAAACATTTTGTCTTGCCAGCCAATAGATTAATCTCTTCCAGTCTATTGTTTCAGAATGCTCCTTCTAAATCAGGAGGTTTATAAGATGATGGTAGGAAAAGGATCAATAACATTTAATAAAAGTTACTTTCTGATTGATTTACTGTTATATTAATATTTAATACCAGGATTGCTTTAAAGGAAAGACATTTTCTATAGATTCCCAGTCCTGAGTATAATGTTGGCATATCAGTATAAAAACTATATGTCCTTTCCATTTTCTCCAGTAGTGAATAGTTTTACTTTGGCTGTGTACTCTTTATCATTGTAGTAATAATAGTCAACACTTCCATAGTATTTACCATACACCAGTCACTGATCTTGACAAGCTTTACCTTATTGAATGCCAAATCTAAGAGATAATGATGGTATCCCTATTTCACATATGAGGAAACTGAAGATCTTTACATTGAATGTCGCACAGGAACAAATGGCAGAATTAGGGTTTGAACTCATAGTCTACTCATGTGACTATGCAAAAGCAACTCAGGAGTATGAATCTAATCAGGAGGAAGACTAACAGGAAATTCTGATTGTAGTCTTGGTTGTTTTTTTTTTTAATTTTTTTTTTGTAACTCTTACTTGCCTTGGTTAACGACTTTACAGAATTTGACTTTTGTGTGTATTATATATGCATATAAAGTAAACTTTTGGGGTTTGGAATGAATGAATTTGCCTGTGATAAAGAAAATGGTGAGTTTTTTCTGTTTGAATTTAGTTGAGTTTTCTTCTTTTCCTAATAGTGGAAATAGATTACTTTGTTATTTACTATGTTGTATTCACAAGAAGTTATTTTTTGTGATAAGGTAAGTTTCCTTTTGTTATTGTATAATGTTATTACTGTTAACTTGGGTATATAGGAATAAAAGACAATAGTTTTATAAGAGAATAAAACACTTTCTATATATATTTAAAATTCTAAATCGTATTTCATTTAGGCAAAATTTAAACATAGTTATGGATGATTTCATTACAACATTAATTATAACTTAACTAAATATATGTTCCCTTTTTAAACAGAATTACTACAGGAGACAGAAAAACTAATGAAGGAGAAGCTAGAAGTACAATGTCAAGCTGAAAAAGTATGTGATGACCTTCAAAAACAAGTGAAAGCTTTAGAAATAGATGTTGAGGAACAAGTCAGTAGGTTTATAGAACTGGAGCAAGAAAAAAATGCTGAACTAATGGATTTAAGACAACAAAGTCAAGCACTGGAGAAGCAGTTAGAAAAAATGAGGAAATTTTTAGATGTAAGTATTCACAATTTCAGTATTGATTTTTCAATACAGTGCTACTGGGTTCTATGGTAGGCTGTATATGAGACATTCTGAAGACTCTTAAATTAACTATTTTCACTTATATATTCTACCAGTTTATCAAAAATACTATTATTAAAATTTGACCTATTTTGAGGGGGAATTGGGGCTTGAAATTGGCCCTCTCCCTTTCATTCTGCTTTCTTGCTCATGGTTAACTCCCTATCCTTTGAGCCATACCTCCAACCAGCATTTGCTGGTTGATAGGGGACTGAATTTCTCAGTTCTCTGCCCAGGCACTCCTTCAGATCTCAACCTTCTGACTTTCTAGGATTATAAGCATGAGCTATCAAAAATGTTAACAATTTTTAGTTTGTGGTAATTAGAATTAAAAGTAGTACAAGATATGGGCATCATGGTTACATCTGTAATCCTAGTCATTGGGAGGCTGAAGCAGGAGGATCATGAATTCCAGGCCAGCTTGGGTTAGATAGGTCCCTGTCTATAAATAAATGCATACAAACATACATATGTACAACTGTAATAAAGTGTCAGTACAATTAGAGCTAGGACTGGAGTTAATAGTGTAGTGGTAGAGCCCATGCTTATTATTATTAGCCCCTGAATTTAATCTGTAGACCAGGAAAGAAGGAAAGAAGGTAGGGAGAGGACCTAGAAAAGAAGGAAAGAAGGTAGGAAGAGGACCTAAAATGTTAAAAAGTAGAACATTTAACTTGTGTATAAGTTTAACCAGTTAGCTTATCTAACTTGGGAATTAACCTTAGACTAGTATTTCATTTAACAAAGAGCAAATTCAGGGAAGATTTCCCACAGTTCATTGGCTACCACTGCTTCCCTTCAAAAGGACTAGAGCTCTTATCATGTTGCCTTTGCTCTGTCCCCACAAAAAATGATTTTTCTTCATTAGGATTTTATAAGCTGATGTTTTCTTCATATAGTGACCTATCAGTCTTGCACATTTTACAATTTTAGGTATAAAACAGATAGCATTAAAGAAATTGATTTACCAATTTGTGTAGTGATTTTTTAATGACTAACAGTGGAATGCTTCTTTTGTATAAAAAAGTAAGTTCATTTTAAGGAGAATTACTTTATTTCAGTCTTCATTTAATTTTATCTGAGCACTGGAGCTTATGCCTATAATCCTAGCTACTCAGAAGGCTGAGATGTGAAGATTGTAGTTGAAAATGAGCCTGCGCAGACAACTCCAGCCCAAAATTAGAAGTGGAGGGTAAAGCTCAAGTGGTAGAACAGAAAGGTCAAGCAAGAGTGAGAGTTTCTGAGTTCAGTAACAATGCCAGCTAGAAAGAAAACAAAGAAGAAGAAAAAAAAAACTGTACTTTAGAGACTTGAAGTATGGCTCAAGTGGAAAAGTGCTTACCTCGCTATCACCCTGAGCACAAACCCCAGTATCCCCCAAAAAAGAAAAAGTATTTTAAAATGTTTACTATTTTACTGAAGAGACTAGACTGGATGTGTAGTAACTGATGCCTTTAATCCTAGCTAAGATTGGGAGAAATGTGGTTCAAAGGCCAGCCTGTGCAAAAAGTTTGTGAGACCTTCCTCTCAACTAATTACTAGGCATGATACATCTGTCATCCTGGGTCAACCAGGGGGTAGAGGACTGAGGAGTGCTCATAAGGCTCCATTTCAGTGGAAGAACCTGGACATATTGATGTGTACCTGACATCCTAGCTTAGGCAGGGAGCATAAAATGGAATGACCACAGTCCAGACATAGGCTGAGACAAAAATCAAAAGCCCATTTTACAAACAACTAGTGCAAAAAATGGACTCAGTACTTCCACCCCATAAAATTAGAGCCAAAGCAGTCTCTGACCATACCAAAAATTAAGTTAAATTTTCATACCTCTGTGGCTTAGGGTATTGGGTATTCCGTGGTGATGTCCTTCATAGTCAAAGTAACTTAAAACTAAAGAGTGATATAGGAAAACATAAGCTTAATAATTACTGTTTCTTCTGTTATTACTATTATAATTAATCTTCAGGAGCAAGCCATTGATAGAGAACATGAAAGAGATGTATTTCAACAGGAAATACAGAAGCTAGAACAGCAACTTAAGGTTATACCTCGATTCCAACCTGTCAGTGAACATCAAACTAGAGAGGTAAGAACTGTTACTGATATTGCCTGATTTTATATATTAGCTTATCTTGAGTATAAAATGAGGATTTTATCATGAAACTTAATTGAGTTCTTTCTACTATGTATAAATCTTATAAATCAGAAAATTAAGTATTACTTAAATGTGAGATATTCACCCTAGAAATTTTAGTGAGCTGATACAGCTCAGTGGGGTCTTGAGTTCAGTCCCCAGTAACACACACACACACACGTTGAAATTCTGAATCAGTCCCATCTGAATCTCAGCTCAGTGGGGTCTTGAGTTCAGTCCCTAGTAACACACACACACACACACGCACGCACGCACGCACGCACACACACACACACGTTGAAATTCTGAATCAGTCCCATCTGAATCTAATATTACCCAATTAAGCAAAACTTCTCTGTTCATTTCTCCACTAAAAAGAGTTACCCTGTTTCCTTTTATATCCACTCCAGTGAAATTTCCAGCTCTTCTATCTCCATTCAGACTATTCTGTGAAAGTATCCAGAGTCCAATAATTACCTCTCTGTCTTCACCTTACTCAACCAATCATAGTCTTGTATAAATACTTCCTTTTCTTTGCTGTAACACACCTTCTCCACTGATTTTTCTTCTCTAATATTTTTCTTCTCTGTATAACCAAAGTTAATGATGGGACACCCTACAACTTAGTTTGAGTCCCCCTTTTTTAATATTTTTTATATTCTCTTCCCATGCATTCATGTATAAATCCACATTTGTACCTTTATTGCTGACAGCTCTATATTTGAATAGTCAGCTGCCAACTCTGTCCTGCAATGTCTCAATTAATTTGCCCAAAAGACAACTCTTGATTACTGACTAGCATATACAAAAAAGGTAATGTTAAAATATGTCCCTTCTTCATGCAAATAAATTTTGTGCCCTCTATACCTTTCTCATTACTTAATCTTAGAATTCTTCAATCTCACTCCTTTTGTCAACCTTGCTTCCAATTAATGGGTCATATTTGTGCTGCATCTTCTATTCTTTCCACCTTGACTCATTTTCTACATTCTAGTTGTCATCATTGCTTGCCTAGATGGTCGTGATAGACTCCTGTTCAGTCTCTTCTGTTTTATGCTTACTGCCTGTTTCCCATGTAGAAATGTCAGAATTCTATTTTTAATGAATGAATTCTCCATGAATGAGGAAAGATTGAATGTGTAAATTTCTAAAGATGGTTTGTCATAAGACTGGATGTGGTAGCTCAGGCCTGTACTCCTGACTACCCAGGAGGCAGAAATCAGAAGGATTATAGTTTAAGGCAAGCCTAAGCAAAAAGTAAGAGAGATTCCCATCTCGCCAACCATCCATGTGGTGATGTTCATGAATAATCCCAGCTACACAGAAGGAATAGGTAAGAGGATCGCTGTCCAAGACCATCCCTAAGCAAAAATACAAGATCCTATCCAGAAAATTCACAAAGCAGAAAAGGGATTTGGGTATTACGTAAGTACGTAAGTGGTAGAGGTCTTGCCTAGCAAATGCAAGGTCCTGAATTCAAACTCCACTAACCAACAAAAACAAAAACCACCAAGTTTGTCATGGTGATATAGAAATTGTACTTGATGCAAGGCAGACCTATTTTGGATCATGGCTCTCTTGTTTCCTATCATGGCTCTCATGTTTTTCCTATGTAGCAATGTTTCCTATGTGAATGAGTAAATTGAATTAACATAGTTTCTGAATAAAATTTTCATTTATAAAAATTGGTTTTTCTGGGGCTGAGACGGTGGCTCATTGGTAGAGTGTTTGCCTCGCATGCATGAGGCCCTGGGTTCAATTCCTCAGCACCACATAAACAGGAAAAGCAGAAGTGGCACTGTGGCTCAAGTGGGAAAGTGCTAGCCTTGAGCTGAAGAGCTGAGGGACAATGCCCAGGCTCAAAGTTCAAGCCCCATGACCGACAAAAAAATTTTTTTAATAAAAAAAATTGGTTTTTCTATGCATTTTATTGGACTTCATCTAAAATGAATTTCTAAGAACTTAAAAATACCTATAAAGTCACTGTAATAAAATGTTACTTCTAGAGAAGCAGAAAAATTATCGATCCTACAGAGTTTGTATTCATTGCCCTTATTCCTCACAAAAGCATCTTCACCTTTTTTGAAAAAATAGTGTTTTATTGAAACTCAGAAGATTGTATAAACTCTAGAACTTAGAAAAACTTAGGCAACTAGAAAGGGTATTTATGCTCAATTTTCCTCTGGAACATTATACTCCATTTTTTCTCTCTTTCCTTTGCCTGATCTGATTCAGATTCTGATTTTCTCAAGGTCAGAAGAATGTATTAATTGTATATTGTACCATTTTAGTCTACTTGGTTTTGCCTTTTCTTTTGACTTTACTCCAAATCTTAGCCAACATCTCAGTAGTTTATTACAGTCATCTTTGAACCTATAATCATAGTTAAGCTTATAGTTTTTAAATGTTTTGAGAAATAATTATCATTTTGGGTAATTTTCTCAGTAGTTCACTGGCAGAGCACTATTCCTTTCTTTCTTACCATCATGTATATTTTTAGTAACTTTCTTTACTTGATCAGAACTAATTTCTTAGGGTGTCATTTTAGTCTGTTTTCTTCTGTCACAGAGCCATTCATCTGAAAGGGCCTGTGTATCAGTCTTTTATTTCAGGTAGAAGAGAAACAAAGGCTAGAGACACTTGAGAAACTTATCTTCAGCACCAGTCCTCTTAGTTCTGGTAGGGTAAAATGTGTGAACTGAATAACTTTCCAAATAACTGTTGTTTTTCCAAATAACTATTACAAAATATGCATGAAAAAGGTTTTACGGTCATCTTATCTCACATAAGAATAAATCAGTACCCCTCTATACAGTATCTTTATAATAAAATATATATTTATTAAAAAAATAATAAATCGGTAAATAATATTTGTCATCTTTACAAGGTCTTGGTGTGGTTGTGCCATTAGATAATCATTCAAAGTACATTTCACCCCTTTACTATCTAGAGGCAGTCTTAATCTTAGGACAAAGAACAAGTTTTACAAATAGTACTGCATCAAACTCAAGCTTCTGCACAGCAAGGCATAAAGTCACTTTGCAGAAGACAACCTACAGAATGAGAGAAAATCTTTGCCAGCTCTTTATCTGAAAAGGGTCAGAGGTATGGTTCAATCATGAACTATCAAATCCTAGTCTTGGACCAAAAAAATAAGAAAGAAAAGAAAAGAAGGAGCTTAACAAAATACTAATGAACCAATAATCTAATCAATAAATTGGTAAACTGAACAGACACCTACGTTTTGGAAAGAAGTAAAATTGCAAGTAAATGCATAAAGAAATGCTGAACATCCCTGGCCATAAAGGAAATGCAAATCAAAACAACATCTTACTCTAACAGAATGGCCATCATGAAGAACACAAACAACAAATGTTGGCAAGGATGTGGGGAAAAGGGAACCCTAATATATTGATAGCGAGAATGCAAACTAGTACAACCACTATGGAAACAAGTAAAGAGATCCCTCAAAAAATTAAGAATACCTTACAACTCAGCAATGTCACTCTTGAGTGTTTATCCAAAGGAATATAAAAACAGATAGAATATGGACACTTGTACACCACTGTTTATTGCCATATTAACAATAGGCAAGATATGGAAACGGCCCTAGTGACGTGGACTAATGAATGTATTAAGAAAAATATATATATATATAATGGAATATTAATCATAAAGAAGAATAAAATGTCATTTGCAGGGAAATGGATGGATCTGGAGCCATCATATGAAGCAAGGTTACTTGTTAACTCTCATATGTATGTAAAACCTAAAATATAGACATATATAAGTATGGGCATGCAGATATCACTGTTGTGTTTATCACATTAATATGTATATACATATATACATACATATATATATATATATATATATATATACCTTCTGAGCTACACTCTCAGCTGTAAAGAAAACATTTAAAAATAAAATTTGGTTTTCAGTTATGTATCCTAATTTTTTAATGTGGCTTATTATATTTTCAGGTTGAGCAATTAACAAATCATCTAAAAGAGAAAACAGACAAGTGCAGTGAGCTTTTGTTGTCAAAAGAACAGCTTCAGAGAGATGTGCAAGAGCGGAATGAAGAAATTGAGAAATTGGAATGCAGAGTAAGAGAACTGGAGCAAGCATTACTTAGCACAGACACTTTTCAAAAGGTGAGACAATGTTTTTGAGTTGACGTGATAAAGTGTCTTAATAAAGATCATTCTTGGATATACAAACATTAGGTCTAATAAATTTTAAAAGTGTTAATGAACTTGTTACTTAAAGAGAGTAATAATGTATATCTTTACTGTTGATTTTTTCACCATTTTTGTTTATTTACTTTTAAATGGTATTTGTATACCTTAGACTTTATGAAGGAAGATTTATTGTACTAGAAGAGTTAATTATCTTTTTAGCCATCAAGAATAGCTAACTGAAAAATGAACACCAGTTTAGGATGATGCTTTATCCCAGTGTAAGAAGTAGTGAAATACGTCCCATAATCCTGCAGAAAGTAAAGATGAGTAAATGAAGAAGCCCAGAATGAGGAGCTTGAGAGTGAGACAAATGGGAGCTAAGTCTTCAGTTTATCTTTTTTTTTTTTTTTGTTCTGGTTGTGGGGCCTGAACTCTGGGCCTGGGTGCTGTCCCTCAGCTCTTCAGCTCAAGGTTAGCGCTCTACCACTTGAGCCACAGCACCACTTCCGGCTTTTTTCTTTTTGCTGCTGAGGAATTGAACCCAGGGCCTCAGGCATGAAAGGCAAGCTCTCTACCACTGAGCCACCTTCCCAACCCAGTCTTCAGTTTATCTATGTAATGAATTTTACCCGTTAGAAATTCATGATTGTAACCAGGCGCCAGAGGCTCACACCTGTAATCCTGGCTACTCAGGAGGCTGAGATCTGAGGATCAAGGTTCAAAGCCAGCCTGGAGAAGAAAAGTCCATGAGACTCTTATCTCCAATAAACTGCTTAGAAAACTAGAAGTGGCGCTGTCACTCAAATGGTAGAGCACTAGCCTTGAGCTGAAGAGCTGAGGGACAACACCCAGGCCCAGAGTTCAAGCCCCATGACCAAAAAAAAAAAAAAAAATTCATGATTGAATTTATGCAGGATGATGCATTCAGCATCGAATATATGCAGCTTTTTTACTGCTCATTGATGTTAGTTTTCTCCTTACCAAAGAGATCGAATTGGCACTTCTTTTTAAAATGCTGTGCACACACACAAATGTAATAGCTAAAATTTTGAGAAAATTCTTATATGTTTAAAGGTAGAAGATGGCAAACAGTTTGGAGCTATAGAAGCTAAAGCAGAATTGTCTCTAGAAATACAGTTGCAAGCTGAACGAGATGCTATAGACAGAAAGGAAAAAGAGGTAAGGCATTTATTTTTTAATGTTAAATATAGTTTGAAATACTTTCAATCTATTTCCTGAAGGGATCATTAGAACATAATGTCATTTATGGCCTGAGGCCAAAGTTGGGCTGTTTTTCAGTTCAGTGCTTAAATACCCATTTTAGTAGGTGTAGACTGAATAAAGAAGAGAGTAATGTAAGGATAAAAGACAGTATCTCTCTTCTCCTGTCTATACTTTAAGCACTGACCTCCTCTGAGGTTCTTTTTTCCTTTTTTGTTTTCTTACTGTTCCTTTGAGATTATACTTTTGTTTACAGTACATGAAGCATATTCTTAGGACAGATCATTAACAATGAAGTAACTAAGACTGAGAATGTAGCCTGCACAATATAAATATACTTTAATAAGTATTTTTTGAACTTAACATAGAAGTATTCATAACTACTATAAAAAATTCTTTGTTGTTAAAATTAGATAAAACTATAGCTCCGAAAAGTTATGATTTAGAAAAGATCCGATCAGGAAGTGGCGCTGTAGCTCAAGCAGTAGAGTGCTCAACTTGAACTGAAGAGCTGAGGGACAGCGCCCAGGCCCAGAGTTCAAGCCCCACGACCTACAAAAAAAAAAAAAAAAGAAAGAAAGAAAAGATCCGATCATTTTTATGATTAGGAGCTGAAATTATTTCTATTAGAAATATTGTTTTCTTACTATCACAGAATAATAAGGTTTATCTGAGAAGTTCTTGCTTATTTTGTCATGGAAGCAGTAAGCATGTTTATTTATATTAAATCACTTCACAATCATTTGCAAAGAAATAATATTTAAACGTGTCTTTTACATTATCCTCTCAGAATGAGCTTCAAAAATGTATCCATAACAGTGGAAATTGATTATTTATGGGTAATTGCTTAAGCTTGCTAGTTTGAGACAGAGAAAAAAAAATTTCCCCCAGTGTGGGATATTGAATCCAGAACCACATATAATCTCTACCACAATCAGCTGGGAGTGTTTGTGTGTGTGAACATACACACACACACACACACACACACATATTGCTTTAGATGTAATTTCTTTATCCTGCCTAGTCTTCCCCTTGGGTTCAAGAGACCCTTCTACCTCAGCCTCTTGAACAGCAAGACTACAGAAAGCAACCATCACCAAGACAGCTAGTTTTATTATTTATTGGATACATATAGTTCTGACACCTTAATTCCTTAACCATCTAATAAATATCTGCATTTACTCAGAAACATACACTACAATAAACTGTAGAGAGCATGTACAGGTTATATTAGCAGCAGATGAAGATCTGCTAGTTTTTAATAACATGAACAAGTATTTTGTCAGAACCCACTCAGTTATCTGTAACTAGAAAATCTGTAACTAGAAAATTTCTGTAACTAGAAAGGTAAGATCATGATCATAGATGTATGATGTTACCTTTCATTTTCTAGTTACACTGTCTCACACTTGTAATGGTAGCTACTCAGGAGACAGACCAGAAGGATCTTGGTTCAAAATCAGCCCAGGCAGAAAAGTCTCCATCTCTAAATAACCAGCAAAAATCCAAGCTTAAAAGCATGAGTCAAGTGGTAGAGTGCTATTTGTGAGAAGGCAAGCTGAGCAAGCATGAGACTACCAAGTTCAAGCCCAAGCCCTGGCAAAAAAAAAACAAGACAAAAAAATTGTCCTCTCTGAAAACTAAGCAAACATTAAAAGAATTTCTTTCAGGTTTTGCTGATCCTAGAGCTCTTGTAATGTTATGCTGCCAAAACATTAGGATATATTTTGTTTGTTGGCAAGATGTATTAAGGACTGTAATTCAATATTCATTGAGTTATATGTAGAAGTGTAACCTTTACAACGGTAAAGAGGTACTCTATACATAGTAACCAACAGACTTCGAGGAATCTACTCATAATGAGATATTTGTGTGTTATAAAAAAAAGTTTAAAAAGAACCCACAAAATCACACAAATTTATGTAATCCTAATAGTTGAGATATCAGTTAATAGATAAACATGAATAAAACAAATTTAAACCTTTATAATGATTTTGTGGCTTGGGAAATTGTTCAATAGTGAGATAGCCTGAGTTATTATTTGCATTTACAGAAGTATTACATAATGAAACCCCTTTGTATAATTAGTATATCTAATTATAAGTATGTCATTTTAAAAAATGACAACCTAAGCATGAAACTAGAGTAGTTGAATAAGAAGAAAGAAAATCACCTGCGGTTCTTGTAAAAAACAAATCTTGAGTGTAGCATGAGATTCTGCTCTAACAACATGCTCTCACATTATGCTAGATCTCACTTTGAGTAGCACAAAGCTAGGAATTTGTAAAGTGATATATCAAAAAAGAATGTGTATGTCACGTGAGGTAAGGCAGAGATTTTGAACAAATTACTATTTACTTGTAATGCACCTGTATCTTCAAAAGTATTTGTAACGATAGGAAAGAGGTATAAATACTATTATGCAAAACAACTTTCAAGAAGGTATAATCATTAGTTTTTATCAAATAGTCTGTTAATTACATATACATAACCACTAAATATATTTAAATGCCTACCGAGTTTAATGCTCAGTGTTACAAAAAAAATTAAATATAAGTCTCCAGAAGTTAAATAGAAGGTTACAAAGGTTAACTCTGAAGGTTCAAAAGATAGCTTCACCACATACTAGCCAAGTGACCTCAGGACAGGTTAGTCATCTTTATGACTCCCTTCCTCATTTCTAAAATGAAGATAATCATAGACCTCATGAGGTTCTTACACAAGATTTTTTTAATACAAGTAAACATTTTATATAGTGAGTAGCAGTAAATTATATGAGATGGCTGTTATTAATATTGATACTATTTTTGTTTAAGAAATATTAGTCCTGTTTTTAAGGCTTTGCCTTGCCAGGCCTAAGATATGAGTCTACTTAAATAACTTGTCAGTGTGTAAGCGGCTTGTGTCCAAGCAACTTCTCAGGCACTGATTTATAGGGTACACTGAGCCACTGTTTCTGAATACTGCTTCCGTGTCATAGGTTACTTTTGATACAGCAGATTTGATCATCAGGTAAATACACATTTAGAAATGCTTTCATTGAACATTTATTAAGTAGTTGAAAAGTAGTTACCTAAATGACTGTTTAGGTCCTCAATCAAACACAGTCTTTTAAAATATAATAATAATTAGCTCTTAATATTTGTCCTTTGTTTCAGTTTCGCTATTACCATCACATATGGTGGCTTTAGACAGGTAAAATAGTGGCATATGCCTGTCATCCAGCTAGCAGAAAAGGTTAAGATGGAGAGAAGGGAGGTTTCCATGCCAGCCCCAACAGAAAAGTTGGGGAGTCCGTGTCAGTAGAAGACACTGGGCATGGTACACATACCCCAGCTAAAGTAGGAAACGTAAAATACTGAGGTCCAAGTGTGTATCCAGACAGGAAGTGACAAAAAGGCTGGAAGCATGGCTTGGCAGTACAGCACCTCCTAGCATGCACAAAGTCCTGAGTTCAAACCCTAGTACCGGGAACTGGGGGAGACAATAGAAGAATAGTGCTTTACTATTATTACTGATAATCTGACTTCAGAAATTAAATTTCTTTGGTTCTACCAGGGAACTAATTATCTCCCTAAAATTATATTTCCTTACTTAGAGGTTTCTGTAATTTAGACCTAGCATCCCTTGGTGTTGTCAGCCTCTGCTTTCTGCCATTCAAAGCATAAGGAAGATAGGCCTCCTAGTTGTTTAATTCAGTAGTTGAAATAGTTTTAGTGGTAAAATAACTGAATTCTATGGAGTCTTTGAGTTTTTTGAAATATAACAACTAGATTTAACATAAAATACAGACCTCTCTTTCCTTTTATGCCCTCTTAGGCTTCATCAGAATATACTTTACATAGGAAAGAGTACCTTGTATTCTTTCTGCTTAAGGATTCCTGTCTGCTTTAGACAGGAATAGTTTAAGAAGGTGTAGGTTGAACATGTCTAGGAATCAAACATGTGTACCTGGCTTAGGAAACCACTTTCTTTTATTCCAATGATTTACTTGTTTTAAGCATGCATACTTTGTTTAAAATAAAAAGTACTCTTCTGTCTTAACCAAAATCCATTGTATAAAGTTCTTTTCCTTTTGACAATTGCTATATTGAAGATCACAAACTTGGAAGAACAGTTAGAACAGTTCAGAGAAGAGCTAGAAAATAAGAATGAAGAAGTGCAACAACTTCATATGCAATTAGAAATACAGAAAAAGGAATCTACCACTCGCCTACAAGAACTTGAACAAGAAAACAAATTATTTAAGGTAATGGCTTTAGAAAAACTTTTGAAATAAATAGTTTGGTTTTCATACTTTATAATGTATTTGCTGTGTCCAGCTACTGAATAATACTTAACAGAGGAATAGTAGTAGGCAAATGGATTTGCAGGGAACCTACTTTCTGCTCAGCCTAAACATTTAGAATTAATCATAAATGAAATTACGTTAATTCTTTATCAAAATATTATAAGAATTACTGAAATTCATTATCTATGACTTTTCTTCATTTTTACATATGGGTATTATTATATTTCATAAACTTAATTGAAAGAATATTCTGAAAATGAAATGAAGTATGTTCAACTATGACAGTTATTTTTGTCCCTAGACTGAAATGGAGAAACTGGGATTTGCCATAAATGAATCTGATACTATTTCTACCCAGGATCAACATATACTATTTGGGAAATTTGCTCAAATAATACAAGAAAAAGAGGTAGAAATTGACCAATTGAATGATCAGATTACAAAACTTCAACAACAACTTAAATTTAAAACAGATAACAAGGTATATTCATTTAAAATTGGTTTTTATCCAGCTATTATAATATAGAATTTTAAGACAAAGTGCTACCAATTTTCATGTCCTTGATAAACTTAAAAAACAAATCTTAATTCTCTTTTACTTTTTAACTTTAACTTATGACCTATTGGCTTATTAACAAGCTATGGGTACTTTTGTTCCCTCCTAATTTTTTTTATTTTTTTATTGTCAAGGTGATGTACAGAGAGGTTACAGTTACATACATAAGGTAGTGACCCTTCTAATATTAAAAAACATCTTTTAAAGATTATAAGAAGCCAAGTGCTGGTGGCTCATGCCTATAATCCTAGATCTCAGAAGGCTGAGATCTGAGGATTGCAGTACAAAGCCAGCCCAGACAGCAAAGTCCGTGAGACTCTTATCTCCAATAAACTACCAGAAAAACAGGAAGTGGTGCTGTGGCTCAAGTGGTAGAGCACTTGCCTTGAGCTGAAGAGCTGAGGGACAACGCCCAGGCCTAGAGTTCAAACCCCACAACTGACAAAAACAAACTAAAAGATTTCAAGAAAACTCTTGTCTCATTTCATCATATCATTCTAACTAAATACGTTCAGTTTTTTTCCTATAAAATAAATTGGATATGGTAATTACCTATGAGTGCCATTTGTTGTAGATATTTCACTACTTTCTCCTTTTCAAAAGAATATAATGTTATTGACTATTTTCTTCATAGGAAATAAACTACTAAAAATATAAACCACTCAGATCTTCCAGAATAACATTCTAAATAAGGTCCTTGTTTTACATGATAGAGGAGATGGTGCTGTATATTGAAATATGTCTCAGTAGTGCATTGAGTTTATATATAATCATCTCTTTTAAAATCTTGATCTTAATAGAGCTTCCAAAATATTGAACACATATGTATTATGTTTCCTTTTTTCATTAACTAATAGGTCATTGAAGAAAAAAATGAAGTAATAAGGGATCTAGAAACACAAATAGAATGTTTGGTAAGTGATCAAGAATGTGTGAAGAAAAACAAAGAAGAAGAAATAGAGCAACTTAATGAAGTGATTGGAACACTTCAACAGGAATTGACAAATATTTCACAGAAGCCATCTGTGGATACTAATTCTTTTCCAGAAGAATCTGATAGTTTAAAACATCAGTTGGATAAGCTTATAGCTGAAAAATTGGCTTTAGAACAGCAAGTAGAAATCACTAATGAAGAAATGGCCTTCACAAAAAATGTTCTTAAGGAAACCAATTTTAAAATGAACCAGCTAACACAAGAATTATGCAATTTAAAGAGAGAACATGAAAAAAATAAGGAGAAGATCCAAAGTGAACCTGAGAAAAGTGTTAACATTGCTATGGATAATCTTAGTAATGACAAACCTGAACTGGAAAGAGTCCTTACTGAGAATGCTCTTAAACCCCTAGAAAGCACCAAGGTTTCCAGGAGAAATTTAGAAACAAAGGTGCTACAACTTGAGAGCTCTGTTAGTACAAAGGACTTAGAACTTACCCAATGTTATAAACAAATAAAAGACATGCAAGAGCATGACCAATCTGAAACCAAAGCACTTCAAACAAAGATTATAAACCTACAGAAAATACTTGAGGAAAAAGTAGCTGCTGCTCTTGTTAGTCAAATCCAACTTGAGGCAATTCAAGAATATGTGAAATCCTATCAAGATAAAGAAACAGTTTCATCAGAGTCTGAGAGGATAAATATGCAGAATTTAAGTCAACTAACAGAAAACAAGATGGAATATGATGTTTCTGCATTAACCTTGAGAATATCAGAGTTAGAAAGCCAGGTATTTGAAATGCACACTAGCTTGATCTCAGAAAAAGAACAAGTAGAAATTGCAGAGAAAAATGTTTTGGATAAAGAAAAGAAACTGCTAGAACTACAGAAGATATTGGAAGACAGTAAGAAAAGGCAGGAAGGGAAAGAAGAGAAAGGAAACCCTCAAAAAGGTTTTGAAGTTCTCAAGGTTAGTTTTATATGACATTTGTCATTAACTAAATTCCCTAGAAAACTTTTCTTTTGTTCATTAGGTTGATTATTTACTAGATTAAAAAATGTTCTGTTTATATCTGGCAATTTTATGAAAATATTTTACTGTTTAAAAAAAAACTTGAATCAAACTAAATTTAATAGAATTTATCTAAAGTGTGTTTTACGAATTGTGCTGCTTTCAGACCCAGAAGAAGTTTAGAACATTTACAACAGTCGGCAGTATTTCCCTACCCTTTGATTGGTCATGGGGCCTGAACTCTGGACCTGAGAGCTGTCCCTCAGCTCTTCAGCTCAAGGCTAGCCCTCTACCACTTGAGCCACAATGCCACTTCTGGCTTTTTTCTTTTTCTGCTTATATGGTGCTGAGGAATCAAACCCAGGGCCTCATGCATGCAAGGCAAGCACTCTACCACTGAGCTACCTTCCCAGCCCCAGTTGGCAGTATTTATACTCAATTATAATACTTTACTTAATGTGTTGTAAGTACTTTACTGTCTACAATACTTTTTCTGTACTTATTCTCAATAATGTATGGAAATAGTTTAATTGGTTATAGAAAGACTTTTGTTGGGTATGATCTGATCAGCTGGTTGTCTGTGATTGGCTGAGATTTGTTGTTTATTATACTCCTAAACTCAATTTTGTTTGTTTACAAAGCTGTTAGGTTAAATTAGGTTCCAGTTCCATACACAGCAAACAGTCTAAATTTAACGTTCTAAAATCTTTATGTACAGCAGTCTAAATTTAACATTCTAAACTCATTGTTATCACTGAAATAATAGATAAATCAATCAATCAGAGTAGTCAATTAATTACAGTAGTCAGAAGTGAAGCTGTGGTCCAGCTGGTAAAGCACCAGCCTTGAGCAAAAAAGCTAAAGGACAGTGCCTATGCCCTGAGTTCAACCTTAGGTACTGGCACACACACACACAAAAAAAATTAGCAATGTCCTCTAGAACATAAGTAAAGTTTTTTCCTCCAAAACTTCTTTCTAGTACATGTACCATGTCATCATTTCTTCTAATTCTCCCAAATTAATGTGTGACATTTAAGTATATTCTAAAAATATTATACTTGATCATAGATTTTGCCCTTATGAAAATATTGTTTGACCTCTGTATGTCTACTTAAATAAATATCTAAAATTGTAGTTATCTCTTAGTGTATAACAGATACGACAAAAACTTTTTTCATTAGATTGTCACTTTAAATTTACAATTAGGACTAGTAAAAGTATAACCTTATCTAAATACCAGGAAATTAATTGGTGTATCAGGATTTTATAATTTATATTGCAAATAATAATTCCACACTTACTATATTGTCCCCTAGCTCATTATAAGTAATTAATGTGAAATATTAATATGACTTCCTATAAGAAGTATCACAGTTATATCTGCTATACTTTAAGGAAAGGGAAGGGAATATAGAAACTCTTTAGAATGATAACAAAAATATCTTAATTGTATATATTTTCCATATATACATGATTTACCTTTATTCACAGAAAACCTTTTTTTTACTCTCTTAAGAATCTAAAGTGGGGCTTGGAAAGTGGCTCAATGGTAGAGCGCTTGCCTTGCATGCTCAAGGCCCTGGGTTTGATTCCTCAGCACCACATAAGCAAAAAGAAAAAAGCCGGAAGTGGCGCTGTGGCTCAAGTGGTAGAGCACTAGCCTTGAGCTGAAATGCTGAGGGACAGTGCCCAGGCCCAGAGTTCAGGCCCCACGACCAGACCCAAAAAAAAAAAAAAAGAATCTAAAGTGGTTCCAAAACATTTCCTTATTTGTTGAGAGAGGACCTCTTCCATCTGTAGCCTGTCATTCCTGAAAAAGCTTTATTAGAAAGCATAAGAACCTTAAAGTTGACTATAGTTTTTAACTGTTTCTCTTATTTTCTATTGTAATTCAGACACCTACTGAGCTAATTCATACCAGTGGAGAAAGTAGATTTTTTGGTGAACTTGAGGCTCATAGAGCCCAGTCAGTGGCTATCCAAGACCTTGTCCATTATAAAGAAAAGGCAGAAAAACTTCAAGAAGAGCTTTTGGTAAGATAAGTAACACAGCTGTAATGCTTTTTTATTTTTGTCGGTTTTTTTACAGCTGTAATTCTTTTCATTGTATTCTGTAAAATTAAACCCAAATCCATAACTTGAGTGCTAGAAAATAGTCTTGTAAACCTCATGATAAATTCTTTTGTTACAAGTTTATCGCCCTCTCTGTGGTTGGTTTTCCTAGGAATCTTTGTCTCTTCATCTCAGCCTAATCAGACATATAGAAGAAAGATAATAATTGAGGAGAAACATAAGTTTAATGAGAACCAAAACAAAAATAAAAATATTTCACTTTCTATAGCAATCCATGACTACTATACTGATGCATAACTGTGAAGGCTTCTAAGAATTTTTTTATTCTGAGGCAAATGAACAATAAATATGAATTGTACTTTCTCACTTTCCTACCCAAACTTCTACATTGTGTGAAATTTTTAATGAATTCTATTCCTTATGTTTTTAGGTAAAAGAAATTAATATAGCATCTCTTCAGAAAGATTTAAGCCAAGTGAGAGATGAACTCACACAGGCAGAAGAGAAGTTATCCCGCTTAGAAAAAGAAGATGAGTCCAAGGTACAAGAAAACAGAAAGATCTGCATATTAGAGCCACTTCCCACTATAATGGGTAAATGTTCTGCATCCCAGACAGAGGGAAATCTCAAGGTCAGCAGCAGCAATCAGACTCCACAAATTCTTGTTAGAAGTGCAGGAATTCAAATTGATTTACAAAACGAATGTTCATCAGAAGAAGTTACAGAAATAATCAATCAGTTTACTGAGAAAATTGAGCAGATGCAAGAACTACATGCTGCTGAAATTTTGGATATGGAATCCAGACATATTTCAGAAACAGAAACTTTGAAGAGGGAGCATTATGTTGCTGTTCAGTTATTGACAGAGGAATGTGGCACCTTGAAAGCTGTGATACAGTGTCTGAGATCCAAAGAGGTATTTGGTTTTAATAAAATAGTTTTTTCCAACACTCCATGATATTTCCTTTGATATTTCCATGACATTTCTCTGTTTTCAAGAAAAAAATTTAAACATAAAAGAAATGTCTTTCATGATACATTGTAATTTTAAATCTTCCCCTTGTATAGAATTAGAAAGTAAAGTTTCTAGCTGGGCACCGGTGGCTCACGCCTGTAATCCTAGCTACTCAGGAGGCTGAGATCTAAGGATCCCAGTTCGAAGCTAGCCCGGGCAGGAAAGTCTGTGAGACTCTTATCTCCAATAAACCACTAGAAAACCAGAAGAGGTGCTGTGAGTGCTCGCCTTGAATTGAAGAATGCAGGGACAGTGCCCAAGCCCATAGTTCAAGCCCCACAACCGACCAAAAAAAAAAAGAAAAGAAAGTTTCTGTGGTATTAGAACCTTTTGATTCTTTAATTCATAATTGTCTCTCCTCAGAGTGATATCCATGAGGAAAAAGTAATATAGACATAAACTATAGATAGTTTTATTAATAATACAAATTGAAATATTAGATTGATTTAACTCTTAGAATACAGCAGAGCAATTCATAGGGTCTTACTAAGTAAGAAAATATTTAATTTTTGTTGTTTTCTCTAAATAGGTATCTTCAGTTCCTGAATTAATGTATTCTAAAGCTTACCAAACTAGAGAAATATGTTCCAGTGGTAAGATATGTAAATTTCTGTAATATTTATAGTGTTTACAGTGTTTATAATGTTTACAGTGTTATAGTTGACGGGTGATTGAGGGGTGCTATTAACTACATTTAGTTATTTTTCTCATTTTTAGATTCTGGATCAGACTGGGGTCAGGGAATTTATCTTACACAGAGTCAAGGGTTTGATGCAACATCAGAAGGCCAAGGAGAAGAAGGTGAAAGTTCAACAGATTCATTTCCAAAGAAAATAAAGGTACTAAAAGATAAAGATCCCTTAGGAAATTTAGCCAGTACCGTATTTATTTGAAGTTACATGGTAGAATTTTCCCTTAAGAGAGAATTGAATAGCCACACCGGGTTTTTAGGTCCTGTGCATTTTATTCTCTTTTTTCACAAATAATAAAGTGAAATATGATCAGTGATGATTTGTATGAGGATCCTTTTTTTCTCTACCACTTGAGCCACATGCCACTGTTAGCTCATTCTGAGTCATTTATTAAAGATAAAAGTCATGAACTGGCTTCTTCAAACCACAATCCTCAAAACTCAGCCTCTTGACTAGGATTATAGGCATGAGCTACCAGAAATGAGATTCAAGATCTTTTTTAAATAACTTTATTCTCAATTTTGCTTGCCAAAATTACTAAAGTCATCTTAAGGAATAGAAGTTACTTTATTTGGGTCTAATCATTAAATCTAGGAAGAATATGTTAACTAAATAAAAAGAAGAAATTTAATGATGAGAGTTATGAAAAGTCATGGAGGGACTGTTGGGATTGTCTTATTACTCCATAAGAAACAAGTGTTCAGTAAAATTGGAATGGAGTTTCCTGTGGTTTTTATTATCAGTCTAGCTTGATAAAGCTACTTTGCTTAAAATATATTTACCTTGTATGTCTAACTTTGAAGAAGTCAAAATTTTGCTTCTGGATTTTGATTTTTAGGGATTACTAAGAGCTGTCCATAATGAGGGCATGCAGGTGCTTTCTCTAACGGAGTCACCTTATGGTGATGGAGAAGACCATTCTGTTCAGCAAGTGCCAGAATCTTGGCTAGAAGAGAGAAGAACTTACCTCAACACCATCTCCTCGCTTAAGGATTTAATTACCAAAATGCAAGTGCAAAGAGAAGCTGAGGTATTCAAACAGGATTCTGCTTCTAAATAGGTTTTTTAAATTTTTCTTGTGAAAGTGCTATACAGAGAGGTCACAGTTACGTAACCCCAAGGTGTATATTTCATTTCCAACATAGGATCTAGTGACTATCACTGCTGAATTGGTTCATCCTTTGTCCTACCATTTCTGTACTTCCCTTTCCCCTCCTCAAATCAGATAAACTTATGTAGAAGATAAAGGGTACAAAAATTAAAAAAAAAAAACAGGACAAAAGGGAATAAACCAAATTTTTTTAAAGAAAGAAATATCAAACTGCAATCAGTACAGTAAAAAAAATCTCTTGTTTCTCAATTCATTTTGATAAGCATCATTTTATATGACCATCTACACATAGCTATTGAGCTCTGTGATCCTCTCCTAATAATATCCTCCTTTGATCTCACTGTGAATGTTTAGAGTGCTGTTTAATTAATCATGTCCAAGTGTAATTATTTGTCTTTTACTATCCTTTGGGTTTACTTGTAGATTTATAGACACATTCTAATTATTACAAATGAGTGAAAATATGTAGCCTAAGTTTCTTTGGGTCTCTCTTTTCTTTAGTATAATAGGGCAATGTCATTCTTTCTGATGGAAGCATAGAATTCCATTGTGTATATATGCCACATTTTCTTGATCTATTCGTCCACTGACAGGCATCTGGGTTGATTCCATATCTTAGCTATGGTAAAGAGTGCTGCAGTGAGCATAGTTGTGCTGGTAGCTTTACTGGGGCCTGGTTTGTGGTCATTTGGATAAATGCCCAGGAGTAGAATTGCAGGGGCATCGAGAAGCTCTAGGTTAGTCTTTTGGGTAACCTACATACTGCATTCCAGAGTGGTTGAACAAGTTTTCATTCCCACCAACAGTATACTAGCATTCCCTGTTGGCCACATCCCACCAGAATCTGTTATTGTTAGTTTTTTTGATAATCGTTATTCTAACTGGGGTGAGGTAGAATCTTAAAGTTGTTTTGATTTGTATTTTTTTTATAGCCAGAGATGTTGAGCACCTCTCTATCTGTCTATTGGCCATTCTTCTTTCTTCTTCTGAGAAGTCTCTTAAGTTTTTAGCCCAATTTTAAATGGGGTTGTTGTTTCTTGAAGATTTGCTTTTGAAGTTTTAATTTTTTTAGCTCTTTGTATATTTTAGATTGAAACCCTTGGCTGATGCTTAGCTAGTAATTATCTCCTATTCTGTGGGCTTTGTATTTTTCTTGCTAGCTATGTCCTTTGTAAAAACTCTTCAGTTTGATACAATCCCATTTATCTAGTCTTTCTTTGATTTGTTGTGATTCTGGATCTTAGGAAGTTTTTATCTCTTCCAAGGAGCCCTAGTGTTTCCCCTATCACTTCCTGTAATATTTTCAGGGTATCTCATCTTACATTGAGGTCTTTGATCCATTTGGAATTGATTCTGCTGCAGAGTGATATATAAAGATCTAACCAGTTTTCTGCACGTTGTAAAGCCAATTCTGCCAGCACATTTGTTGAAGAGGCTGTCTTTTTTCTATCCTGTATTTGGGTCCCCTATCAAAGATTATGTGGCTATAGGTCTGTGGGTTCACTTCTGGGTCTTCTATTTCATTGATCCTCAAGCATGTTCTTTTGCCAGTACCAAGTTGTTTTTATTACTACAGCTTTGTAATAGAGTTTGAAGCTTGGTGTTGATATTTTTTTCATCACTGTTCTTCCTGCTAAGGATGGTTTTCAATATTTGGAGTCTTCCACTATTCCATATTGAGTTTTGGATTGCTGCTTCATAGATTACTGAAGAATGTTATTGGGATTTTGATGGATTTTGCATTGAATTTATACATAGCTTTGGGCAGTATTGTCATTTTCCTGATGTTAATCCTCCCAATCCAGGAGCATGGGAGATTCTCCTATTTCTCTAAATCTACTTTAATTTTCTTCACATCTTTGGTTAATTTAATTTGTAAGTTGCTGTTTTTTTCTTTTCTTTTTTTTTGAGGCTATTACAAATGGAGCTGCTTTCTTAATTTCAGTCTTGTTCTTCTCATTGTTGGCATAGAGAAAAGCTACTGCTTTTTGTGTGTTAATTGTATACCCTGCTATTTTGCCAAAGTTTCAGATCAGCTCAAGTAACTTGGAAGAGGAGTCTAAGGGGTTTTTTAAATACAGGATCATGTCAGTTTTACTTCTTCTTTCCCTATTTGGATCCCCTTTATGTTTGTCTTTTGCCTTATTGCTCTAGCTAGGAATTCCAGTACTCTATTGAAATGAAGAGAGCAGACATCCTTATCTTGTTCCTGATTTTAGAGGAAATGGTTTTAACTTTTCACCATTAAGTATAATGATGGCTGTAGGTTTGTTAGGTACAGCCCTTATTATATTGAAGAAAGCTCCATGGATTGCTATCTTCTTTAGAGCTTTTATCATAAAGGGGTGTTGGATCTTGTCAAATGCTGCTTCTGCATCTATTGAGATGATCGTGGTTCATGTCCTTGCTCCCATTGATCTGTTAAATTACATTAATTGACTTGCATATATTGAACCAGATTTGCATCCCTGGAATAAATACCATTTTAATTTTTTTGGTTAGTGGTTGAATTTGGTTGGCCAGAATTTTATTGAGAAGTTTTACATCGATGTTCATCAAAGAGATGGTTCTGTAGTTCTCTTTCTTTGATGGGTCCCTGTCTGGTTTTGGGATGAGTGTTATACTGTTTCATAGAATGAATTGGTAGTGATCTTTTGCTTTCAATTTCATAGAATAGTTTGAGGAGTGTTGGGGTGAGTTCTCCTTTGAAGGCTTTATAGAATTCAGCTGTGAATCTGGTCCTGGGCTTTTCCTGTATGGAGGGTCTTTTATTGCCATTTCTATTTCATTATTTGCTGTGGGTTTATTTAGTTGGTTTATGTCTTCTTGGTTCAGTTTGGGTATATCAGCATTTGCTAGGAATTCTTGGTATTTCTTCAGGTTCTCCAATTTGTTAGCAGAAAGGTTTGCAAAATATTCCTTATAATGTTCTGGATCTTTCTTGTTTCTGTCGTAATGTTCCCATTTTCTCCCAAATTTTATTTGGGGGGTGTTCTCTTCTTTTTTTGGTCAGATTTGCTAAGGGTCTGTTAATCTTTTCAAAGAACCAATTATTTGTTTTGTTGATTCTTCTTTTGGTTTTTTGGTTTCTAATTCATTTATTTCTGATTTAATTTTGATTCTTTGTTTCTGTCTACTGGTTTGGAGTTCAACTAGTTCCTCTGTTTCAAGGGGTTTAAGGTGCATCATTAAATTGTTTATTGGCCGCTGATGGCTCATGCCTGTAATCCTAGCTACTCAAGAAATTGAGGCCTGAGAATGGTTCAAAGCCATCCCATGCAGAAAAGTCCATGAAACTCTTATCTCCAATTAACCAACAGAAAACCAGAAGAGTTGCTGTGGCTCAAAGTGGTAGAGAGTGCTAATCTTGAGCAGAAAAACTCAGGGGCAGCTATTTTTTATGCTTGTTTTTGTTCAATTCCATAAACATTTCAATTTCTGTTCTGATCTCTTCAGTGACCACACTTGTTATTCAACAATGTGTTGTTAAGTCTTCATGAGTTACAGAATTTTCTATGATGGGTTTTAGTGTTGACCTTTAATTTTATTCTTTTGGTCTATATATAGGGAATAGTTTCAATATTTCTGAATTTGTACAGACTTTTTTTTTTTGGTCAGTCGTGGGGCTTTAACTCTGGGCCTGGGCACTATCCCTCAGATCTTCAGCTCAAGGCTTGCACTCTACCACTTGATCCACAGTGCAGCTTCTGGTTTTTTGGTGGTTAATTGGAGATAAGAGTCTCATGGACTTTCCTGCCCGGGATGGCTTTGAGCCATGCTCCTCAGATCTCAGCATCCTTAGTAGCTAGGATTATAGGCATGAGCCACCAGCATCCAGCTTGTACAACTTTCTTTGTGGCCTCAAGTATGATCTATTTTGGAAAGTGTTTCATGTGCTGCTGAGAAGAATGTATATTCTCATGCTGCTGGGTGAAATATTCTGTAGATGTCTGTTAAGTCTAGTTGATGGATGTAATTATTTCTGAAGTTTCTCTGTTGAGTTTTTTTGCTGGGATGATCTATCCAGAGGCGACAGTGATGTGTTAAAGTCACCAACAATCAGTGTGTTTGGATTTATGTGTGTTTTTACATTAAGTAGTATTTGATAAAGTTGAGTGCTCCAGCATTTGATATGTAGATACTTAAAATTGTTATATCCTCCTGTAGGAGAGATCCTTTTATTAGTATGTAATGTCCTTCTTTGTCTCTTCTCGCTAATCCTAATTTGAAGTCTTAGTTTTATTTTAATAATAATAATTCACTTTGTATGTGTTCCGTTAGTGTTACTATTTATGTTTTCAAACTAGAAATACATATATTCTGAGGCTTTAAAATTTTATTTTAGTCAGTAGATTAATATTTTTAGAATGTTTTTTAACTATGCTTATTTGAAAACTAACTTTTATATTTTGTATTCTGCTAGGTTTATGATAGTTCTCAGTCTCCAGAGAGCCTCTCAGATTGGCGGGGTGAACTTCTACTTGCCCTTCAACATATTTTCTTAAAGGAACGCAGTTGTTTACTAGCCACATTTCAAACTGAACTGACTGCTTTAGGTACTAGAGATGTAGGTGGATTATTAAACTGTTTGGAACACAGACTACAAGAACAGGTATCAAAACAAAACTTTATTTTAAAAAATAATTTTAAAAAGTAAGAAAATTAATTACTGAGTCATTCAAGTATTAAGCATAATTTGAACAAGGACTACTAATGATACTTACAAGAAAAAAAATTATCTTACATATCTTATGGTAGACAGTAAGAAAGAAAATGAATGAGCTGTTCATCAAACTTGGGAAATTTATTTAAAAAAAGAACAGACTAAAACCAAAGAAGAAGAGATAAGATAATCATTTCTCATTTTTCCCATTAATTATGTTTTGTGAACTTGCCAGCAGCCATTGCTCCTAGTGGAAATACACAAGTTTCTGTAACCATCTATTACATTTTTATGTTAGAACACGATCTTGCTTTCTGTGCAGTTGTATTAGACTTTGTGTGACTATAACAAAATATCTAACACAAACAACTGTAGACAATAAAATTTGTTTCAGCTTGTAATTTCAGAGGTCTCAAGTCTATAATCTTTAGCTTTGTTGATGGTGAGTGGTGAGCTACAAAATTGGAATCTATGAATAATGAATGTGGAAGTTCTTTGAAAATGATAAAAACAATTTCTGGAGAACTGTTTTAAGAAAAATGACACATTACAATGTTAAAACATTAGCTTAAAATATTAAAAAATTGAATATTGTGAATAATTTCCTTTGCATTTTGAAGCATGGATGAAATAAACAGATTCAGTAACAAACAGAAAACCTAAAACGACCTGTGTCTGGTGATAGAGTCTACACCATAGTTAAGTTTACTCACAATCCTTAGTGCATAGGTCTAAATTTTAAATACATTCTCTGTTAAAATAATAAGGTTCTGTGGACAACTTGGGATTCCAGGGCTGCAGCAAGGAAGGTACTAAATAGATGAATTTGGAGTATCTTGTTAAGGCCAAATTTGAAAATACAAGCATCAAACTAAATGATATTGACAGATTGTAAAACTGAGTAGAACAGTGAGTTCATATTGATATGAATGGATATGTAAAAAGTATAACAGTGGAATGACCTTTATTAATGTAGAAGGGTTGATAGAATTAGCAAATCACCCTTCATTAAACCTGATCTAGTCAAGCAATAATTAGGAATGGATGCTAAAAATTAGTAGGAGAAAGTTGTTAAAATAACATTTGCATAGTTTTGTAGTTCATTTTGTACACTGAATATAATGACTGTAGGGGGAATATGAGAACGATAGAAGGGATGACACTGACCAAGAAACATTCTTGAGTACCTAGAAGTACTCATAACCTAACTTAAGGAATTCTAGTCCCTTTGTACAACTAATAGTAAAAGAATGTTTGGACAATACCAAAGTAAACGTCTAGAAGGACTTCTGTAATTACAAAGAGAAAAGCAATAACTTCATAGTGGAGAGATATTGCAAACAACCACAAGACCCAAACAATCAGTTAATATTACTAGCAATGAAAACATGCATGCATGTTTTCACATTTATTCTTATCTGAAGATGCACATCACTTTTGTGATACTTCCGTTAAATGTATAACCAGAATCCACTCTTGAGAACAAATCACACCACTATACAACTACAAGAATAATGAAGATGAGGGCTGGGAAGGTGGCTCAGTGGTAGAAAGCTTGCCTTGCATGCCTGAGGCCCTAGGTTGGATTCCTCAGCACCACATAAGCAAAAAGAAAAAAGCCGGAAGTGGCGCTGAGGTTCAAGTGGTAGAGCGCTAGCCTTGAGCTGAAGAGCTGAGGGACAGCGCCCAGGCCCAGAATTCAGACCCCACAACCGGACCCAAAAAAAAAAAAAAGAAGAAGAATGAAGATGAAAAAAAAATACAAAAACCTTAGTCAGATTTTACTAGATGCTAAAGCAAAAAGATAGTGATATTAAGTTTTTGTGACTTACTAATTGAAGAATACTTATTAGGCATTTTGCTGTATGTCCTTTGATTTTAGGAGGTATTTTGTTAATTTTTTTGGTAGTTATTATTGCAGTTAATAGAATTTTCTTGCTTTTAGGAAGTACACAGCAGTATACAGAGATAAAGGAGCATCTGTCTAAACCATATCTGCACACATTGTGGGACAAAAAAAAAAATTACATGTCTTCCAAAGGCCATTCCATTCACTCTTCAGAGTTTATGGTTGCTAATTTTATTCTTGTTATCTCTTTACAACTCTCTTCATTATTTTTTTTCATTTTCCATTTTCCTTCGTTACAGGGCATTGAATATCAAGCAGCTATTGATTATCTACAAAAAGCAGATAGAAGGAGTTTGTTATCTGAAATTCAAGCACTACGTGCTCAAATTAATGGTAGAATGATCCTGAAAAGAGACCAAGAGAGTGATAAACCAAGCCAAGGTATGTTAAATGGTATTTTCAGCTTAATGCCATTATTAGTCAGTTAAAACATTTCTTTGCATTTTCTTCTCATTTTCTTTATGCTGAGTAGATAATTTATCATTATTACTGTAGGGTTGGCAGCTTGAACTTAAACTGTGTAGGCTTACATTCAGGTTAAGACTGTTCTTCATGTTTGTTTTAATTTTTTTCTTATTTATTGTAAAGATGATGCAGGGAGTTATAGTTACATAAGTAAGATAATGACTACATTTCTTTTTGGACACTGTTACCCCCTCCCTCATTTTCTCCCATTTTCCCCTCCCTGCTCCACCTCCCCCCAAGTTGTAAAGTTCATTTCCAACTTAGTGTCTAGTGAGTATCATTGTTGCATTAGTTCATCTTCTGCTCAGCTGTTCTTTGATTCCCTTTTCCTTCTGTGGGCCAGATAAACTTATATACATGACAAAAGGTACAGCAAACAAAACAGAACAATAAAACAAAAGAGAAAGAAAAAAGAACTGCAAACAGTAAACAGTGCATTATAGAAACCTTTTGTTTCCAGTTACGTTTTTGTCTTAAAGCTGTATGATAAGAAAACAGTCTTTCCTACTCTTTTTGTGAACAACTATCCAAAAAAAAGAAAATCCACAATTTTTAAATAGTTTGTTTACAAAATTGGGAGCAACCATATATATTTCAAAAAGTACAAAATTCAAATACACATTATGACAAGCTTATTAAATGAATATTAATTTATCTGAGTGCTGGTGACTTACACCTGTATTCCTATCATCTCAGTTTTGTTTTATATAATCGTAGAAACACACTTTTTCCCATTTTGACGTCACATTCTAGGCTTACACATTCATTTTAAAGCTGAATCAAGTTTAAATTACTTTTGAAAAAGCAGATATGAGATAAGCATACCCCTTTAAGCACAGGTTTAATTAAAAATTGCTTTGAAGATAACTATTAATATCTTATCTAACTTAAATAGAAGTTCATTGAAAACATGATTTCAAAATTAGGAACCACTATACATACAGAAAAGTATAAAATTTAAATACACATTATAACAAGTTTATTAAATGAGTATTATGTTAGCTGGGCACTGGTGATTCACACCTGTAATCCTATACTCTCAGGAGGCTGAGATCTGAGGATCAGACTTCAAAGCCAGCCCAAGCAGGAAAGTCTATGAGACTCTTATCTCTAATTAACCACTCAAAAACTGGAAGTGGAACTGTACTAGCTGTGAGCAGAACAGCTCACGGACAGTGCCCATGCCCTGAGTTCAAGCCCCACAACTAACAACAACAAAAATTACATATATATATAGTGTCAGCATCAATGTGTAGAAGAACATTCCCCAAATCCTAAAAGGCCCCTCCTATGCTACTCAGTAGTAACTTATAAGTAACCATTATTTCAGCTAGGTGCCAGTGACTCTTCAAGATATTGAGACCTGGAGGTTGCAGTTCAAAGCCAGCCAATGCACAAAAGTCTGTGAGACTCCAATCTCCATTTAACCAGCAAAATGATGGACTAGAGGCATAGCTTATGTGGCATGAACATGAAAACTGAGCCAGAATGAGGCTTGTATACACACACACATGCAACCAATGTATATATTTGTATGCCAATATAAATATACCGTTTTATATATTCCTAAATCTACATGTTTGAAGTTTGCCTAATTTTGAACTTTATCAATCTGTACAAATTTTATGTCTTACTATAACAATCTTCCAAGTTACTTCATTTATCAGTAGTTCACTTTGTTATTCTATTGAATTCCTTTGTATTGATAGTGCATGATTTATATATAAATTTATATGTAGTTGAACAGTTGGACTGTTGATGTACTTGTCAGCTATTGCAATGCTGATATTAAAATTGTTTGCTATGTTTCTATTACATGTATACATGTAAGAGTGGAATTTCTGTGTCCAAGGATTCATAGGTTTAAATTTATTAGATTTTGCAAACAGTTATAACAAGCAGTCACATCAATACACTCATTAGCAGTATGTGAATTCTGTTTGCCCATGTCTTTGCCAACAGTATCATTAGAACCTTTGTTTCCAAACTGTTGGTTGTTCTGTGGCTATTAAATATTGTAGGATTTTTTTTTTGGGGGGGGGGGTGTGGGGAGGGCCTTGTGCTTGTTTGTTTATGGTATTGGGCATTGAACTCAGGACTTTTGCAAGTACTCTACCACTTGGATCACACTTCTGATTTCAGATATCTTTTAATTACTGAAATAAGTCCTTTTTCATTATTATGAGTTAGTTGGATTTTTACTTTTGTGATATGATATACTAACAAGTCTTTTCCCTACTTTTCAGTATAGGCATCTATTTTTTTTTTTTTTTTGGTTGTGGGGCTTGAACTCTGGGCCTGAGCGCTGTCCCTTAGCTCGCTCAAGGCTAGCACTCTACCACTTGAGCTATAGGCATCTATTTAAATTGAGCTATAAGTGAAAATCATTAGAGATTAAATGTTCATGGTATCTAGTGAGGACAGTTGCCTACATGTAGCTGTAATAGTTTTGTTTTATACAATGGTAGAAACACATTTTTTCCAATTTTGAAGTCACATTCTAGACTCACATATTCATTTTAAAGCTGAATCAAGTTTAAATTGCTTTTGAAAAAGCAGATAAGAAATAAACATACCCCTTTAGATACAGGTTTATTTAAAAATTGTTTTGAAGATAACTATGAATATTTTATCTAACTTAAATAGAAGTTCATTGAAATCCTGACTTGTATCATATATATATATATATGTGTGTGTGTGTGTGTGTGTGTGTGTATATCTTTAGCTTTACTCCTATGAAACAAGTTTAAAATCTTAAATTAGCATTAAGCATGATTATCATTAGTTCCAATCTCCTTGTAATTCACTATAATGTGAATTGATGATTTTGATAGAATTTCTAGGTTAAGAAATTGTTTTCTTATTAGAATACTGTTGTATGTTGGTGATAGAATAGAAAGCCAAAAAAGAGAGAGAAATCCCACATAGAATTATATAAAGCCTAAAATAATGACTAACGTCCAGGTGACCATGTCCACAGAGCTTTTCAGTGTTGTGCCAATGTATGTAAGTATATATTGTTCATAAACAAACTCAGTGCATATTTGGAACTTTTTATCACCTAACATATTGAAGATTTAAATTCTGGGATATATGTTCATAATGATAAACATGTAGCAAGAGTTTGACTGGTTTTGAAAAACCAGGATCCAAACTGGGGATTAGACTCTACCTTGTGAGATAAAGTTCCTAGGGACCATCTGCAAAGAGAACTGAACAAAAGAAGCCAGAACTGCTTACCGTTGTAGTCACAGCTCTATGGGATACTTCAAGTACTGTGTATGGCACTTTTAAGTGTGAATGTTTAGCATTCTAAATGAGCAAGTAAGTACAGAAATCCCTCCTTAGAGCATATTGTGTACATTTAAAATTTTGCATTTTAAATTTTGCACCATGAATATATTCTGTCAAACTTTTAAACTTACACATTTATAGTTCTCAAATAGCACAAGCACAATGAGCAAAACAAGCATAGTTTGTGTAAATCGCCAACTTGAGGGACAATACTCTTTTCACAGTTGCTTTGCACTAGTATCCTGTTACACATCAGTTATTAGTAATATAAGACAAACATTAATTTCTAGATTGTATTTTAACTGTTAAACATATTCCCTTCAGAGTTCCTGGAATATAACATGCAGCAGAAGCAGTCTCAAATGCTGGAGATGCAAGTGGAGCTCAGTACTGCGAAGGACAGAGCAACTGAACTGCAGGAACAGCTAAGTTCAGAAAAAGTGGTGGTTGCAGAACTGAAAAGTGAACTTGCACAAACAAAATTGGAGCTAGAAACAACACTCAAGGCACAGCATAAACACCTAAAGGAATTAGAAGCATTCAGGTGCTCCAGATTTTGTAATTACAAAATAAACATGGATTAGGAATTGGAATAGCTGTGTCATAAATATTGTGCAAATAATACAGAAATAAAACAACATACATGATGTTTAAGTAGCATTAAACCTTGCTATTTACAAGAAAAACTGATGTAGACAGGGAAACCTCAGATTTTTCTGAATTATAAACTCAATTATTTTGTCATATTGTTTACCATGATTTCAGTTCTACTAAAGAATTGTAGATGTTGTTTTGGCCTGTATTTTACCACCAACTAATTTGAAGTAACCTTCATGATTTCTTTAGAAATAATTCATGGCTTAATTAGCTACAATAGACTTAAGTGTTTGAAGAGATAGTGCTGTAAAAAAAGAGATGTTTGTTGTTAAAAATACTGAGATATTGTTCTTGCCAATGACACATTTCAAGTGCGGTTGTTTTTATTTTGAACATTTATTTCATATGCACAAATTCATGAGACGATTTCCTTAGTAAAAATAGTCAGTAAAAAGACAAGGGAAAATATTACTTAGTAGCAATAAATGTTTTAATTGTTTACAGTAGCATTATAAGAATTACTGAAAATAATTAATTTGAAATGAACTGCAATCAAGAATCCATCTTTACAAAGTTTATAACATTCTTCATGCTATAATCTAACATGCTTTAGCTTAATAGCCTAAAACATGCTTCAGCCATCCACCAGAGGCTCCACCAGAGGCTCATGCCTATAATCCTAGCTACTCAGAAAGCTTAGATTTGAAGATCACAGTTCAAAGCCAGCCCGGGCATGAAAGTCCATGACACTCTTATCTCCAATAAACCACTAGAAAACCAGAAAGTGGTGCTGTGGCTCAAGTAGTAGAGTGCTCACCCTATGCTAAAGAGCATAGGGACAGCGCCTAAGCCCAGAATTCAAGCCCATGACTGACCAAAAAACAAACAAACAAACATGCTTCAGCTTTTCATTGGTAGCTAATTTCTCTCTATAAATATGTACTTAGATCAAAACTTAGATCAAAACTCATTTTTCTCTTGATTTAGGCTGGAAGTTAAAGATAAAACAGATGAAGTACACTTGCTTAATGATACTGTGGCAATTGAGCAAAAGAAATCAAGAGAGCTCCAGTGGGCTTTAGAAAAAGAGAAAGCCAAGTTGGGGCATAGTGAAGAGCGTGATAAAGAAGAGCTTGAGGTATTATCATCTTTGGCTTTATGTGTCTCTGGTGTATCTGATCTTCAGAATTTCCCCTGTATAAATGATAAGCAGGGGGTGGGGGGGGGTTACGTTGCATAAGTAAGAGTGCATTTATTTCTAATTGTTACCCCTTCCCTCATTATCTCCCACTTACCCCTTCCTATTCCCCCACCCAAGCTGTATTAAGTTTTCACTGTGCATTGACTAGTACTGTAATGTTTATCTAACCTGTTCTGACTTAATGTAAATGACAATATTTTTTTTTATTTTGCTACATCCAAGAGTGCATGTAGATTCGACCCTGAAATATATTTTGGAGATGTGAGTTAATACACATACCATTTTAATAAATAAGACTGTCATGGCATTCTTTAGTGCAGAAGTAGTATGGGTTCCTGTATTCTCCTAGTGAAGGTGAACAGGAATCTTTTTCTGGTGTACCTTGTCCAGTATTTTCTAACTGTGGTAATAAATAAAGTGTTGCTAGCATTTTTGCCCCACCTCCCATCCATCCCTCCCTCTCTTTCCTTCCTTCTTTCCTTCCTTTCTTTCTTCTCCTTTTTTCCCCTCTTTCCTGTTTATTTAATTTCCACTGTGGTATCCCTGTTTAATTTACACTGTGGTAAACTCCACATGAGTACATGTTACTGCTATACTACTAGTCTTTGTATTATTAAAATTCTCATATACTTTAAGTACTCTGTCCCTACCTCTGCCTTCCTTATAAGACCTATTATTTTTAGTTGGTAATACTGCCAAACACAGGTTTTTCAGGAACTCCTATCACTTTATATTAGGAACACATGTATTTTCAACTTTTTGTGATTGTGTTTGTGTGTGTGTGTTTATGTGTGTGTGTGTGTTTATGTGTGTGTTGGTAATGAGAATTAAACTCAGCACCTGGGAATTGTCCCTTAGCTTTTTCTCTCTAGTTTTGGTATTCTACCACTTTAGCCACAGCTCTACCTCTGACATTTGATGCTTAGTTGGAGATAAAATTATCCTTCCCTGCATGGCCTGGCTTCAAACCATGGTACTCAGATCTCTAGACTACTCAGTAGCTAGGATTACAGGCATGAACCACTAGCACACAGGTTTTATGTGTTATTTTTAATAGTTTCGTGAATGAAACAAAATTTTTTTCTTTGAACAAAAAGGAAGCCACCCTGCAGGATATTGTAGTTGTTTGGTATCTCCATCATATTACTTATGGATAATGTTATTTTCTCATGCTTACTTTACTAACAGTGAAGATTTGATATAATATTACATTAAAAACTCAATAGGGAACCCTTATTTCACATCCATGTGGCAGAAAAGTGTCTACACTAACTTAGATCCCTTTGTACTCATAAGTATTTGATTTATAAAAGGACTAGGTATTTTGAGCATGTAAAGAAATACATAGTAACTCCCAATTTTGATAAAAATGGAAAAGTTTTAATGAAAAAATGAGTAAATATAGGACTCAAATTTAGTTTTTTTCAAATATGGATAGAAGCTCACATACTTGAATGGTCCAATTGTATTTTCTACACTTAAAATCATACTTTAATTGGGAGATAGAATTAAATGAGAACTAAAATATTGTGTTGCCTGAGAAATGTATAGTTTTCATCAGTAAAGTAGATCATATCACTTCAGCCTAAAAAAAGAGAGATTATTAATACTGTGAGAATAAAAGAATACTTACTTTTAAAAACTGTTACTAACAGAAAAGTCCCCTGCTTCATATTTAGCCAGAGAAGGTTAACATTTTAAGAGAAAGATGTTATTTATTTTACCTATTTTTGTTAATATTCATTGATGAAAAATCAGTTAACTATCTAAAGAATTACAGTGTAGCTGGGCACCGATGGATTACACCTATAATCTTAGCTACTCAGGAAGCTGAAATTTAAAGTTCACGGTTCAAAGCCAGCCTTAACAGGAAAGGCTATGAAACTCTTTATCTCCAATAAATTACCAGAAAACCAGAAGTGGTGCTGTGGCTCAAGTGGTAGAGCACTAGCCTTGAGCTGAAGAGCTGAGTGACAGCGCTCAGGCCCACAGTTCAAGCCCCATGACTGACAAAAATAAAAATAGAATTACATCTAACCCCTGAAAATATAAGTTAACTGGATCACACACTTCCAATTTGGTATTAATAAAGGCATGGTTGTGTACTTATAAAGTATTTTTAAAAATATTAACACAATTTCAATTTTATTTTCTCTTAAAGGATCTGAAATTTTCACTTGAGGATCAGAAAAAGAGAAATACTCAGTTAAATCTTCTTTTAGAACAACAGAAACAACTCCTTAGTGAATCACAGCAGAAAATAGAATCACAGAGAATGCTATATGATGCCCAATTATCAGAAGAGCAAGGTCGAAACTTAGAGCTTCAAGTACTTCTAGAGTCTGAGAAAGTTCGAGTTCGGGAAATGAGTAGTGCCCTAGACAGGGAACGGGAGTTACATGCACAGCTGCAAAGCAATGGGGATGGTGGGCAGCCTCGACCATCTTTGCCCACAGAGGACTTACTTAAAGAATTACAGAAACAGCTAGAAGAAAAACAAAATCACATCGTAGAATTATTAAATGAGACTGAAAAATATAAACTGGATTCCTTGCAAACAAGACAGCAAATGGAAAAGGATAGACAGGTTCATAGGAAGACATTGCAGACAGAACAAGATGCCAACACTGAGGGACAGAAAAAAATGCATGAGCTACAATCCAAAGTGGAAGATCTCCAGCGCCAGCTGGAAGAGAAAAGACAGCAAGTTTATAAGTTAGACCTTGAAGGAAAACGACTTCAAGGAATTATGCAGGAATTCCAAAAGCAAGAACTAGAACGAGAAGAAAAACGAGAAAGTAGACGCATTCTTTATCAGAATCTTAATGAGGTAAATTGGCTTTTTCTTTTTAAATATTTTAAAGTTTTTTTTTAACTTTAAAACTTTGATCATAAAATTTTGATACTGCATTAAATTATTTAAATATTTCAACTGAAGTTTATAGGACTTTGGAAAATAATTATTCTTTAATAGAGAATATTAAATAATACTCATTTTTTTTATTATTGCTATCTTTTTCTAAATTGCCAGCCAACCACTTGGAGCATAATTAATGATCGAACTAGAAATTGGGTTCTTCAACAGAAAATAGAAGGAGAGACAAAAGAATCAAGCTATCCAAAATTGATTGAAATGAATGGAGGAGAAAGTGGCTATCATCATGAATTAGAAATGATCAGACAGAATCTTCAGCACGTGGATTTGAAACTGCAGCATCTAGCCCAGAAAGCCTCAAATAGGTTAAACATTTTATTTGGTCTTTGAAAATGGCATTCTTAGACATGCTAGCCAAGAATTGTATTAGGAGATGATATAAAACTCCTGAATCTGAAAACAAGTAAAACCTTTGACACAGAGAAAGAGAACACTTGGCTTCAGGTTCCAGTGATAAGTGAAATGAGGCGTTGTAGTTTTTAATGTGTGTAGTAAATGGTCCTGAAAAGATCTCTGATGTTTTTGTCTTTTTCTTGAAGACTACAGTTTGAAGCAGCAGATGATGAAGCTTTCATTTGGGTTCAAGAAAATATTGATGGAATTCTTTTACAACTACAGAAATTAATTGTCCAGTCAAGTGAAGAGGTAAGACTTTTTTAATGTTATTTATTAACAATAGGGAGCAAATTATGAATTAAGAATTGTTTTAGGGCTGGGAATGTGGCTTAGTGGCAAGATGCTTATTTATCATGCATGAATCCCTGGGTGTGATTCCTCAGTACTACATAAACAGAAAAAACTCAAGGTGACACTGTGGCTCAAGTGGTAGAGTACTAGCCTTGAACAAAAGAAGCTCAGAGACAGTGCCCAAACACTGAGTTCAAGCCTCAGGACTGACTGGCAAAAAAGAAAAAAATTGTTTAAAACTATTTTATATGACTTTTCAAGTATCTGTGTGTATGTATGTCGGTGTGTTGGGTGTGTGTGTGTGTGTGTGTGTGTGTGTGTGTGTGTGTGTGTGTGTGTGTGTGTGTGTGTGTGTGTGTGTGTGTGTGTGTGTTCCTATTTCCCCAATAAGAGGAAAGGTTTGAGGGGAAATTAACTTTCATTATTGTTACTGAAAAACTTCATTGTCCCCCTAAGAGGCCAAGATTCTTGAGAGAGCATCCTACCTTCTATCCTCACACTTCATGGAACTACTCTTCAAGTTCACTGAGTCTTCACTGTTGACTCATCTGATGAATCTTTTCACTCCCTATCTTTCTTGACTATGTAGCATTTGAATTTTTTTTTTCTTTTTTTGCCTGTCCTGGGGCCTTTATCACAGGGTTTAGTGCGGTCCTTGAACTTTTTTTAAAAAGGCTAGTCTACAGTGATCCTGTTATTTATGTTTCCCACATAGTTGTGCTGACAAGCCATGTACTAGCACACCCAGCTTTACTGGTTGAGATGTGGCTTGCAAAGTTTTTGCCAGAGCTGGACCCAAACCATTACCTTCCCTATCTTAGCCTCCCAAGTAGCTAGGAATACAAGCATGAGCCAGTATGCTATTGCCTAATAAAATCCTGTGGTTGTAAAGACCCTTTAACTTGTAGTACAGGCTTATATTTTCAGTTTGTTACTAGACCTCTTTTGTAGGAAAGTGACCCCTTAAAAACCTAGCAGGCATATTCTAAACTGAGCACCATCTTCCTTTTATCTTTCCTGACGCAGACCCTGTGTGCCCTTGCCTCCCTGTCCTCTGTACTTAGGCATTGCTCCAGGCTTCCAGTGTTTCTTAGATGTTCCCGAAGTCACTTTACTTCACACACACTACAAGAGGAATCTTTAGGAACACATATATTTATTTGAGTCATGCTCCTACCTGAAGACTTTCAGGCCCTCCATTATCTTCATTTAAGGCTGTTACATTTTATGAAAATGATGTGACATTTACTGTCTCACCAGCAACTTACAGCAGCATACTCTTGCGTAAGCCTCTGTGCCTCCTAAGCACATGTAAATGTGCTCTCTCTTAGACTTTCTGTGTCCTTTCCTAGCTTCTTTCCTACCTGGAAAATTTCTCCCTATGACTTAACCAGGCATAGTTATGTGACCTTATGCCACTATTTTTCCAGCCTAGATTCATGGCCCCCAGTACTTCTTGTGGCTCACTGACTGAAAGACTACTGAGACAAAATGCTGAGCTGACAGGACATATCAGCCACCTGACAGAAGAAAAGAATGATTTGAGGAACATGATTATGAAGCTGGAGGAGCAGATCAGGTGTTACCGACAGACAGGAGCTGGGATAGATTATGTACGTTATTTTCACTGGTGGTGAAAAGCTAGTTTTTGCTATCTAGTTTCACTTTTGAAACTTGATATAAAAATATCAAGTGTCTGACTCTCAGGAAGCTCTATAAATTGTTATAGAAATGACAGGAATAATAATTGCTATTCTTGGAGACCTTCTCTCTTCTAGACTCTGGGTTATATACATACAGAATCTAATCCCCAGTAAGCCTTTCATGCAAGAAACCAAGATCTGTCTCAGAACAAATGACAGATACATGTAAAGAAACACTCCAATGTGATTCAGTGAAAAATGGCTTAAATTATACATTTCACTCTGAGGATTTAAATTTTCCCACTTAAAAAAAACTATAAAATAGTTAGATTCTATTTAAGTGGGAAAGACCAGTGAGACAACTATGTAATTAAATAAATTGTAACATGTTTACTAGCTTCCATAGAAATTCTGCTTCTCTGTGTACCTTCAGGGTTATTTCTTCTTCATTTCAGGCTCCGTATCCTTTTGACTAGATTTGACAAGAGACTTGGTCTGTCAAGTCTCTCGCCTTTTTATTCAGTGCTCAACTATATCTGCTAAACTTTCTTTGTCCTTTCTGCAAGGACACAAAGGACATTGAGTTGAAAAGCTAGTCTCTTCAGCAAAGGACTACATACTTAGAGACTGGGAATATTCTTTCATGTCAGCAGTGATTGGCTCTGAGCTCTCTCTGACTGAGGTTAGAAAGCCAAGAGTAGGTATCCAACATAAGGATACCTTGAGGAGGAGGCTACAATGCTTGATAAGAAATGTACTCACTATCTTGCCCATGTAATTGTAACCCCTCTGTACAGTATTTTCATAATAAAAAAAAGAATACCTTGAATATGTTTAATTCACATTCTTATATAAATTTTGTCCTTAAAAACCATACATGGCCTAACTGATAAAGTACCTGTCTAGCAAGTACAGAGGCCTCAGTTCAAACCCCTCAATCAGCCCCACCCCCAAAAAACAAAATTATATAAGTAAGCTGTGGTCTCTCCAGTCTTCCAGGTTTGCATTTGGTGGTAGTGCCAACATTGAAGCCATTGTTGCTTCTGAAAAAGAAGTATGGAACAGAGAAAAATCAGTTCTCCAGAAATCCTTGAAAAGGGCAGAAGCAGAAGTGTACAAACTGAAAGCTGAACTACGAAATGATACGCTGTTGCAGAATCTGAGCCCTGACTCTGAACATGTTGCGCTAAAGGTAGGAAACCTGTCCATCCCTTTTTGACTTGTTTCATCTCTCTGTCACTTTAATTGAACAATCTAAAGATACATACAGGTTCAGGCTGTCTCTATAGAGTCTGTGTCATGATTGCAAGGCCTCTCTAGCTGTACACAGAGGTTTGTGTAGAGATGGGCTGGGACTAGATTATGCTCCATTGATTGTCACAGTGTCATCATCCAGAGTTCTCTTGGTCCTGCTTCCCATAGTTCCTCCCCAAAAAACAGGTGGTATCTTTTAACTTTTATCTTTCAACAAAAACACTACTGCCATCCATGTAAGAGCATTGTGCTACTAAAAGACAGGAGTCTTTCTGCCTAGCCTACCCAAATTTTTACCATAATCGGTTCAGCTAAAGTATAACACAAAGAGGTAAACTATTTGGAATTAAATATTCCCTATTAAATATGGAGTAAACAAACATGACTTACAGGAACAAAAATACTAATAAAAAAGCTAAATAGATAAATGAGCATAACAATAAAAATATCTCTAATAAATATAACTAAAGAAAACTTGTATGATAATAGGGTAACAAACAACATTTGCATTAAATAAAAATATAGACTAAAATCTGAAATAAATAAAAAGCATAACTATAAGATTGATATTCATACTCATTGACCAAAATAAGAAAAATACACAGACTAATCCTGTATCTTAATTTTCAGCTTTGCTAATAATGTGGACCACCTAGAATTCTACAGGATGGGGAAAGAGAAGGAGAGAGAGAGAGAGAGAGAGAGAGAGAGAGAGAGTGTGTGTGTGTGTGTGTGTGTGTGTGTGTGTGTGTGTGTGTGTGTGTGTGTATTTGCTGGTATTTGAACTAAAGACCCTATGTCTTGCTTTGTTTTTTTTACTCAAAGCTGCTGCTCTACTATGTGAGCCATACAGCCACTTATGGAACTATTTTTAAAAAAGTCTAAGTAACTTCCCCTCAAGGACAATTTGAATGACTTCTATGTCTTAATGTTCCCCCTCTCTTAAATGTAGAGAATATATGGAAAGTACTTGAGAGCAGAAAGTTTCCGCAAAGCTCTCATTTATCAGAAGAAGTATTTGCTGCTGTTACTGGGTGGGTTCCAGGAATGTGAGGAGGCCACCCTGGCACTTCTTGCCCGCATGGGGGGACAGCCAGCCTTCACCGACCTAGAGGTTATCACCAACCGCCCAAAGGGCTTCACCAGGTTTCGTTCTGCTGCCAGAGTGTCCATTGCAATTTCCAGGTAAGTCCTCACAAGAAAACTCATTTTATTAACAGATTCTCTAGTGTAACTTTACATGATTGGAAGATATGAACCATCACTGAAATGTATGCTTATTTCTCTCTGAGGGTCTCATTCTTTTAGTATTGTTTCCATTTATTCATTCATTTATTTATTTATTTATGTCAGTCCTAGGGTTTGAACACAGGATAGGCCTTACACTTGCCAGACAAGCACTCTATACTTGATACCCCAGTCCTTTATGCTTTACCCTTCACAGAGGATCTTGGTTTGGTTTGGTAGACTGTAGTGCTCCTATCTGGTCTCCTGCGTAGCTGGGATTTGAGATATGAACCACCATGCTTGAGTTGTGCATTGTGATAGGGTCTCACTTTTGTGTAAGGTAGCCTGAAACCAGGATCTTCCCAACTTCCACCTCCCAAGCAACTGAGATTATAAACATGAGCAACCACATGCTGTGGTAGCAGGGATTCTTTACACTGTACTGTGTAAATCCTCTGAAATGGGACATTCCAAATAACATGCAGCTGGTGACTCAGCTTATATATCCACCCTGCATTCTTTTTTTATTATTAATTCCAAAGAAGCCCATGAATATATAGTTGAGATCATTAAAGGGAAAGTTTCTGCAAAATTACTCTTTAGGCTACTGTACACTCCATTTTCTTCACTACTGAAATAAGTCACACATAGTACCCAACATAGAAAGCCCTGACCTCACTCTGCACTCAGGTATTAAGCTATAGGGCTTGAGGCTCTGCTGGTGCTGTGACTGTTTCCCTAGTAATCCCAGGCTAGAAACTTGCTCTGGGTTCTCTGTGGTTGAAATGGAGGCCTAGCCCAATGTAGTCTTGGCCTGGCCAGTCCATATACCACACGCCTAGGATTCTCTCAGGACCCCCTCCCTTGTGGGCCAAAGGAATTTTGCTTTGCAAAAAATGCCATGATCAGATCAGGTTATATCTGATGCTTCATCAGGGACTTTTGCTCTGCTTTTCTTCACTTAGTTTCTTTGAAGTATACACTACAATTTCTGAACTGGCAGCTGTCTGAAATTACTAGTCCATATTCTAAGTTCACAGATGAGGAGACTGAGATGGATGAGGTTACAAAGCCAGTAGATCAAGTCCCAAAAGCAATCCTGGGCCAAAAAAA